ATAAAGGTTTCTATATTACTCACACCATCACATGACATCCACAATACCATTCCAGTTCACCGAACCTCTTTAACTGCTTTCATATCATTGAAGTTGAAATGCAAGACATGCAGTCTGTTCTGAAGGCAATTCTGTTTCATGTGATGTTTCGTCCATCCTGACAGAAGACTGCCGCCAAGGACTATCTGGTGCATTATCTTTTCAAAATGTGGGTGCATGCTTCTTACTTACTTACTTTGGAGATTTAACGTGCGCTTTCCGACTGATGCGTATTTCGCACACGGGCCCGGCCAGGCCATTTAATGTGTTTCCGAAAGGGGCGAAAGTGGTCTGTGCAAACCAAGAGGGTGCTCTAGGGGTTGCTTATATAGAATTTGGGAATTTTGAGATTTGGAATAGATGCCGATCGGGTTGGGGAGAAGAACTAATGGAGCTGGGTATGGTGGATGTTTGTTTGTTTATGTGATTTTGATTTGGTAGGTTATTGTATTTTGATGCGTTTTATTAGTTCCGTTTTTATTAAGAATACGCCTAAGGCCTTGAAGTTTTCTAGTTTATTTTGTGGGTTTAGTATTGCTTCTAGAGTGAGAGCCTTGTTTAGATTGAGGGTGGTTTGTAATGCGGTTCGATGTGTTAGGTAGTGTGTGCAGTGGATGAGTGCGTGTTCTGGGGTTTCTGGTTGTTTGCAGTGTGGGCAGTTACCTGTAGTGTGTTTTTTAAAAAAAATGTATGTGGTTATTTAGGTTGGTGTGTCCTGTTTGGAGTTTAGTGATTACTCTGTCGATTTTTTTTGATGGATGGATAATTTTTGGTTTGGTTAGTGGTTTGCTGAGCACTTTTTTCATGCTTCATGCATGCTTCAGAACGTGCAGATACATATAGGACAGTTTTGCATTTGTAAAAACATACACACAAGGGACCCCATTCAGTCCGTAACAGTACCAATTACACTCACAGCATGAAAACCAATTGTTGTTAATCCTAAAGTCTATAGCTATTATTTGGTTAACATACATTAAAATCAGATAGAAGTTCTCGCTATCGCCGAGGACATCCCATTACAGGTCACATAGAACAATCTTCACAAACTATGACCGACCAATGAAATGACTAACAGGAAGTCGACATTAGACACTAAGAAAGCAGCTTTCTTAAGCTTTGTGGTACCAGTTTCAAACTGGCGACTTACATTCCAGACTATGCCTTTTAAAGTAATTTGAAGAGGTCGTACAGTACGTAACCGTTGTTTTGTGTTAAGCTTAAGAGATTGCATGATTAGAAAACATATTCCGCTGACAATGTAACATAACAATATGAATACTCTTTTTTTCATTTTTTTATTACGTGTTTGTATCGTTATCTACCGTGTAGGTGTCCGAGCTTCTCTCGAGGAACGTTAACACAACTTAAATTCGTGTGTCCGACATACTCGTTAATCCGACATAATCATAAGCAACTAACCATGTCGGATTAACGGGACTTGGCTGTATTGTCTTCTAAACTGATAAACCGAATAATAAACGAGTGCAACAAGCAACAAGACTCCAGATGGATGAGTTCACACAAAGATCCTACGTAAATGAAATCATCACCGGTATCTCCCAGCACCGGTAGCGACATGGATACAATTGCGTACATAAATGTGTAAATTTCCTTCTATGTAAAACAAGTTAATAATATTACTAGGCATCTAAGGAACGCTATCAAACAAGGATTAGAGAAATTGTAAATCTACTATTCTGTTAAGTCTTTTGAAGGCATTTAGAAATGATACACTAAAAGGAAGAGAATTTATGGATGTCAACTTCTTTATTATGAGGAACACAATCTGCCTTGTGCTTGGAACTTATTGCTTTGATCTTGTTCGGTGCCTATTATCTATCTGGCTTCCATTTGCCCTTTGCTATTTCCATTCGTTCACCTATCAGTGCTAATTACCCCCGGCCTCCCGTTTACCCATTGTCCATTGCCTATTGTCTATTACCTATCAATGATAACTTAAGTACTGGCTTCCATACCATCAGCGCTAATTCCTGTAAAGTGTTGGCTTCCATTGTCTATTCCTAATCACCTATCAGCGCCAATCATCTGTTGGCTTCCCTTTTTAGCTTCTACCCCTTGTTAGCTTCCATCTTTTGTAATCTTATTGATTTTGTTGTCCTTACATGTACATATATATGCTCTCTGCCTCATGGCATTCTCTCACTTGATGAAGGAGTAAGCATGTACTCCGAAACGTTGTGTTCCTCATAATAAAGACGTTGACATCCATAAATTCTCTTCCTTACTATTCCGTTCTTCCTTTTACAGGAACATACGTGGGTGGTTCACTCAGTGGAACCGATACCGAAAGAAGTAATAGATGACTGATTTGAAAGGGCACAATTTAGTCTCCATTTATAAGTACAGCAATTCAAGAAACACACAGAGACCATGGATACATGCATCTGCCCCAGTACTATCAACTTCTGGTTGGACATCGACTACATCGTCTTGTATAAATACACATCCGTAACGAGGGATGTTCGTGTATTTTGCTGTGTCAGTCAATGTACTACAGTGATCTATATGCCGGTGGCCTGTAAACAATCGAGTCAGGAGAAGACAATCCAATGATCACTATCCACGTCATCGGGTAAGAAAGCCACGATGTCCACCAAGTCACCATCCCTGACCACACGATCCAGTGATCTGGAGTAAGGTGATGTGATAACCCCACCCGAAGGTAACAGAATAGCATCGCGCATCACGGTGATGATGATTAATCCGACAAACCCCCTTTCCTCAGCCACAGGAGTCCTTTGTACGACTGTATCATGCGCATCTGATTGGGAATCGCTTTCAAATAGCGATGACACCAGGTGTTCACGAGAGAGTTAGCGTATCCTAGCCGTCTGATGGCACCCGTTACAAACCTATGGTAACATGAGAACTATAGCCACCAAAGGTTGGAGCTACAGAACACTGCTCGACATTTGAAGTCTTGTCACTGAAAACGGCAACACGTTTCATGTAGGGTGACATCTGACTGGAAAAGAATGGGTTTATTCCAATTCTGTGTCCTTTTTTCTGTTTGTGCATTCTACCAATAACAACACCACACAGTGAATTAATCCACGCACAAAAACATCAACAGGTTCCTCTTCTCTTTTGTTCCTTTTTTTGCATATGCCTCCAGAGCATCTGTAATAGTTTTAATTAGAATGTTGTGATCTCAACTGGTAGGTGGCTGCTCACGATATCTTGGTCCAGGCTTGATAGAGACGTCACCGGTGATTTTTGACCAAACGGTTGATTACGGAATGATGGCAGCCTCAAGTTGTTGAATTTACATCATGAGCTGCCCAGTCCGCGTTCTGCAACGGACTTTCCTGTAATTGAACACGAATTCAAATTCAAGAACATGCGGTCTTTCTTTGATTTATTGGAGTCAGTTTCTGGTTTGTCAAAACGTGTCAAAACAATATCAAGAACTATTCCACCTGGTCGATACTATTGGCCCTTCCTATTTGTGGACCCACCCACCAGCAAAGGTTGCTGGAGTTGTTGGATTTCTTTCAAGGACACAGAATATAAGTGACGTGTCATCTTTAGTAAAGGTCCAGCAAGTGGTCAACGTCTGAGACCTGCATAAACTTAATGTCAGAAAAACGTCTTTTAACCTATCCCCCCATCGCTGGGTAAAGTGTGGAGATGTGGATGCATTGCTTCTCAACATTCTGTGTTACCGCGTATGTACATATGCCCCCCCTCCAGGTGGTCGGAGATGTTGGTGTAGATGTTGTTGCTGCCATTGGTGTAAGTGTGGCTGCCGGTGTGACTGCCGGTGTGACTGCCGGTGTTACCGCCGTTGTTGCTGTCGGCGCTGCTTACAGTGTTGTTGCAGATGTTGGTGTCGGAGTCAGGACGCCCATCTGGGTCCGATGACTCGGAGATGTCACATGGTTCCAGTACATGGTCCACCCCGTGATCATAGTAGGTATAAGTGGCATCTGTTTCAGCTCCGTTAGTTTTTCTTCTGCGTTTTACTATTTTGCTGAAAGAGAAGACAACATCTTTGAAATGTGACGTATATTGGACATATGAATTATAAATATGTCATATAAATAACAACTAAGTTGAAAATATGATATAATGTTCATATGTCGTGCTTTCTACTTGCTGTTATGTCCCTGTTCCTGGACGAGTACATCACGATATCACTCACCAACAGACTACACTCAGAACAAACACAACAGCACCAACAGCACATGCCACAATCAGTGTCATCTTGGTCTTCCCTGAAAGATACAGATGCGGATAATTATTACGAAAAGTGGTTTTTCAATCAGACAATTTTCTTCAGATGTGGATCGTCTTTTTTTGGACTCTCCATGCTACTGTGCGCACCTTGTGTATGTAGGGGGGCAATGTGTGGGGACGACGTAGTGGGGGGAGGTGATGTCGGTGATGTCGGCCCTGTACCTCCGTTGCACGTGACTGTCAGGTTGGACACACCTGGAACATCAATCAGCGGAATCATTGCTTTGTATCTGCTTTTTAAAGGAAAATGAAAAACCCATAAAAATCTGTTTTCCGAGACACCTGAACGTACCTCTGACCTTCAGCCACACCTGTTGACCTTGCTTCCCATATGTTTGAAACGTCACCGTAAAACGTGAAACATTTTCCATCACTGGCGTATTGTATACAAAATATCTGTGTGAGAGAGATTGCCAGATAGAGTTGTCTCCCTTCAGTGTTATGTTAGCTCTGACGCCGTCACGATGTCTGAAGAACAGTTCTAGTATCGTCACCGTCATTGACGTCCCTGTCACGTCACACTGACACGTGTTATATGAGTTCTGTGATTCGTATGGGTAATTGGAAGATGAAAGATACAGAGTAGAGTCTTCCGTGGAGGAGGTTGTGGTGCAGCTGCAGATATCTATGGGCGATTCTGTAAATATACAACCCGTCCATTTCAATCAGCGTATCTCATGCAAACTAAACCAACGTGTCATGTTATTTGTAATATTTCCAAAAAATAATGGACATTAAATATTGGAATGAAGAGGTTGAAGAGTATTTCAGATTTATCACAGCATGTCTGTTTGATGTGAGAGGTGAGGTGAGGTGGGGTGGGGTTTAACGTCGCGTTCAACATTATTTCAGTTTCGACGTGTGTCTGTGTCTGTGTGGCTGATTTAATAGTGCTACTCCACTGAGATACCACGCAGAAGTCTAACATGGATACTCCACTCAGATGAAGTTTTCTCCAATCCGACATGTATTTGTTTCATCTCCTTAATGCCGAACACCCACCAAGGTAACAACAAGTATCATCTTTGTTCTGTACCATCAACGTCTTTTGGAATGACACTACTAGCGGATCGAACCACCGACCTTCTACTCTCCGGACAGACGCTCTAGACTAGTTCACGGAGGAGAGCCTGATGTCGAAAAGAAAATTAACAAGAATATGATCCAGTATCTCAATAAGTGTAAATCTTACGAAGCAACGATCAACGGATTCTGGAAATACTATGAGACTCAGCACGTACACTCGAGGCGCTTTTAGACCGGGAGGTCGCCCTTCCCACCCAATAGATATAGGATGGTCATGTATCACTCATATGAAACATTTTATCTTGGTTATTCGTGTATTGATGTTTGAAAACTACCAACCGTTGATACACTGGTATGATAATGTCACCGTATATGACGTCGTATTTCCACACTTGTGAGTCAGCCAGAAGCTCCAGATGTCGTGGTGGCAGACCGACACTCCGACGCAGTTTGTTGTCAGCCCTTGTTTCTGAGTCTCCTGCAGATATTCACACGTGTCATCTTGTGTGACACATCCTGGTGACGTCTTCCTGTACAGGACGCGGACCAGACGGATCCTGCCAGGGTGCCCGCACTCAAGCCTCACAGACCCGCGGGGCAGGTTGCTGCAGACCTCCTTCACCTCGACAGACCCAACTGCAATGTAAATTGAGATTATTTAGACCTGCTACACCTGGACAGGCCTACCTGCAATCTGAAGTGAGGTTATATAGACCTCCTTCACCTGGACAGATCCACATGCAATGTGAAGTGAGGTTATATAGAACTCCTTCACCTGGACAGACCCACTTGCAATGTGAAGTGAGGTTATATAGACCGCCTTCACCTGGACAGACCCACTTGCAACGTGAAGTGAGGTTATATAGACCGTCTTTACCTGGACAGACCCACCTGCAATGTGAGGTGAGGTTATATAGACATTCTTCACCTGGACAGACCCACCTGCAATGTGAAGTGAGGTTATATAAACCTCCTTCACCTGGACGGACCCACCTGCAATGTGAAGTGAGGTTATATAGACCTCTTTCACCTGGACAGATCCACATGCAATGTGAAGTGAGGTTATATAGACCTCCTTCCCCAAGACCGACCCACCTGCAATGTGAAGTGAGGTTATATAGACCTCCTTAACCTCGACAGACCCACCTGCAATGTGAAGTGGGGTTATATAGACCTTCTTCACCTGGACAGATCCAACTGCAATGTGAAGTGAGGTTATATAGACCTCCTTCACCTGGACAGACCCACCTGCAATGTGAAGTGAGGTTATATAAACCTCCTTCACCTGGACAGACCCACCTGCAATGTGAAGTGAGGTTATATAGACCTCCTTCACTTGGACACCTTAACGCTGTCAGCACGATGCGATGCAACGACATAATTGCACGCGCATATGATACATAAGATTAATTAATACCGTATATGTTACGATTCCAATATAGTGTAATGCTAAATTGAAAGAACACATGCAAGCATTTTAATTTCTCAATCAAGAAAGATCAGTATTTTTAAAGAATTAAACGTAATATTGCAAAAAGGCAAATACCAGAGTGGAAAACTATGATGGCTAACGTTCAAAACACAAGCCATGTGTGACATACGCCGTAAAATACCATCACTGTGAACATCACGGCTGGTGTTGCACTCAGCGAATCTTCTACTTGACATTTCAATAATGAGCCATTGTAATACATGAGTATGTACAGAAATGCGTCTACATGAGAAATATGCTGAAACTCATCGTCTGTGTTGTACAAGTGGCATATTATGTCACTAATCAACACGAGATACATACCGATTCGTAGTGGTCTATATCATAACTTCGAGCTGAATTGAGATAACAGGTTTGGCACTTTCTCTGTTAAATATCACAACTCGGGGTCACTGAAGACTAATGTCAAATTGTAGTGCCATCCATAAAAGATTCAATGACATCACACAGAAGACACCTGTTCGTCAATCTGCAACTCACCTGCCACGAAACATCTGATGTAGCCCAGGATGAACAGAGTCTTCGCCCACAGTAGATGCATGTTGACCTGTCCAGCTGGCGTTTACATGGCAAGTCTGTCCGTACTACAGTGGAGATCTCACTGGGCCGCCCACAGTAGATGCATGTTTCCCTGTCCAGGTGGCGTTTACATGGCAAGTCTGTCTGTACTACAGAGGAGGTCTCACTGGGCCGCCCACAGTAGATGCATGTTGGGCTGTCCAGCTGACGTTTACATGGCAAGTCTGTCCGTACTACAGAGGAGGTCTCACTGGGCCGAGCAGGGTGGATCTCACTGGAGCTGTGACATGAAAGGTGGAAGTATAAAGTCGCCCATAGCGCCGCTGATTCACTTCTACCCATTTGTTCCCATGATCTGAATAGAGGTGTTTCGTGTGTTGTTAACAGAGAATGCACACACCCCAGTCAATAGGTTGTGATTAGCATAACACAGAAGTTTCAGTCATACACGGTGATTCTGCCACACCAAGTTTAATATGCACTATACCTTCACATGGGCGGCGAGCCAAGGTCTTGATTCGATTCTCACTCATTATGTACACAGCATGTACACCGACGTAGAGAACTCGTCCATCGAATAACTCATAAATCGTTTCTTAATCTTATACGTTTCATCTCCTTGTAAAATAGTATACAGTAAGCGTGCTGTGAACCTACCGATACACAACATTTGTGTTGCAGTTGATTTGCAGTCTAAATGCGTTAAGTTATTACAACACAGACACACCAAAGACAAATAAAGGCGACAAATTCCCACCCATAATCCTTAGAAATTTCTACTAAAAGCAGAGTCAATCGAACGATTCCACCGATTGGCTATTTCAGATTACAGAATGATGTCAGATCTTCAATATACCTGAAGCCTAAGTCACACTTGTTTTCAGGATGTCGTACAGTCAGCCCGTGATATTCTATAACCTGGGATTGTATTGAAATATAATTTGTTCTGGAAAATAGTAGAAAAAACAATAAAGCTATTAGGTTTTAGCAGATATTTCAGATATGGAAGCCAGTATTAGGATGAGAAGGATTAAGATATAAGGACAATGGAAATGATGTCAAACTTGGTTTGTGATTGTTTTATGTTTGTGGCTGGTTGGGGTCTGTTGATGTTGGTGGCTGGTTGGAGTCTGTTGATGTTGGTGGCTGGTTGGAGTCTGTTGATGTTGGTGGCTGGTTGGAGTCTGTTGATGTTGGTGGCTGGTTGGAGTCTATTGATGTTGGTGGACGGTTGCACCTCCGAAATCGCTTCCTGACAGTGACGTCATCGTCGACAAATGCCTTAGGTCACAGGGTTAGTCGACAGGAGACTCAGGGCTCATGGAATCAGGGCTTTTAGATCATACAGAGGACAGCTATTGACAGCGCAACATCGTCGTCTGCGATTGAGATGGGCCCGGACTGTACGACGTTGGCAACGACGTGACTGGCAGAGGGTTGTCTTCACTGACGAAAGTCGATTCTGTATGTTTAGGGCTGATGGAAGACAACGTGTTTACCGCCGAAGGGGTGAACGAACGGCGGGGTGTTGCGTGCAGGAGGTCGTACCATATGGTGGAGGGAGTGTCATGGTGTGGGGAGGGATCTGTAGGCAGGAGAGGACACCGCTGGTCATCGTTAACGGAAACGTGACAGCTCAGCGTTACATGGATAACATTCTTCGTCCAGTTGTCCTACCATTTCTCCAACAGCAGCCACGTGGTGTCATTTATCAGCATGACAACGCTAGAGCCCATACAGCCAGAATTGTCACTAACTTCCTCGCAGCCAACAACGTCAATGTCCTGCCGTGCCCTGCACGCTCACCCGACATGTCCCCCATAGAACACCTCTGGGACTTGATGGATCGTCGCGTTCGACAATGACACCACTCTCCAGCCAACCGGCAAGAACTGATGTTGGCCCTCCAAGAAGAATGGCGTCAAATCCCACGTGATCTCATCAGACGACTGACTTTTTCTGTGCGTCGAAGAGTTTTTGCGTGTATTGAGGCATTTGGTGGTCACACACGCTACTAATGACTTGTTATTCAACGTGAGCGATTGTTTATGTACTCTGCCTATTGTCAATGATTCTTAAAGCTCGAGTTTTGTACCACACCCAACTTTGGGGGGCTCTGACGTCATTCTCGGTCGCGGTATGATTGTCATTTTCAGTGTTGATTATGTTGATATATTGATCTTCTCAATACATTTCACTTCATGCAAGTATGTTTTGTTGTTTTCGAGCAAGAATGATTACAAACTCTGGTAAAGTTTCTTTTGGACGTCAGTTTACATGACTATATACAATGAAATCTTGTCATACAGTGCTAATGAATACACAATTTACAAGATACAATTTGTGAGCAGTAAGGTATACATGCATGTGTCTAGTAGATATACATAAGGTATTTCTTCAAATTCCATATAATGTGGCCGAAAGACCACGTATGATAATCAATTTCGTAAGTTACGTCATGAACATCTGCCCCGATAAAGAATGCAAGCATATCTATTTTCACAGATACATCAACATCAAGTTGATTAATCAGACATGAGACAAAATGTCATCAGACAAAAAATATTCACAATGTAAAAAAATATGGCAATCATAGTAATAGCAATGTCTATTACAATGGTTACATTCTTTCGACACCTTTGCTCTTGATGCGATTTCAATACAAAGTTGCAGGGTTTGTCTTAAATGTGGATAGAGATGTATTACATTATAAAGAACATGCTATTGTAACCGTTTATGAATGTTATGGTACCGTGAAAGAGTTGGTACCTGTGTTCGTCTTTTCGTGAAATGTTTTGTTCAATCTCTGATAGATGTCTGATTCCAAGACCTCGACAAGTTATTTTATTTGGGAATGAACCCCAATCAGTATGCTCTTTGATATAGTTATCTAAATGATTTTTTTCAGAAGTATATAGGAGGATGCTGCATATGCTTACTGGACAGCTAATAGTGACAATAGCGTTGGTAGCAAAGTGAGCACAAAATGGTTGCTTTGTTATTGTGTTAACATCGTTATTACAGAGCCTTCCTAATAATTGTAATCTACATTTATCTATGAAGCCATTCATTGACTACATTCCAAGGTAGCGTTGTGTAGATTCAGCCATTTCAAGTTCTTTACCGTATAAGGCTGGTAACAATGCACACCCATAAAAGCTTGTAGAGAGAATAATTCTTTTCCATATATTGACACACACACAGCCGGGTGGAGATCGGATTCGTTAAGGCCGAGTGATCGTAAAGAATTAACAGATCTCCTTGCTTTTGAGCAACACGTCATGACTGTTTCTAATAATTCCGACATATTTGACAGAGTTCGAGCTGTCAATTGTAGCATCGCCAAACTTGTAGCTTACTTTAGTATGAAACTGGCGTGTTTGACAAGTGATTTACTCTGACATGCATTATTGGTGAGTCGGCATATGTTGACATATAAACGATCTGAAGAGGATCAAGTGAAGACAGTAACATTGATAACGATCACACCGGTACTTTAGCATACCAATAACGATCACACCGGTACTTTAGCATACCAATAACGATCACACCGGTACTGCAGCATACCAATAACGATCACACCGGTACTGCAGCATACCAATAACGATCACACCGGTACTGCAGCATACCAATAACGATCACACTGGTACTGCAGCATACCAATAACGATCACACTGGTACTGCAGCATGCCGATAACGATCACACTGGTACTGCAGCATACCAATAACGATCACACTGGTACTTTAGCATACCGATAACGATCACACCGGTACTGCATCATACCGATAACGATCACACCGGTACTGCAGCATACCAATAACGATCACACTGGTACTTTAGCATACCAATAACGATCACACTGGTACTTTAGCACACCAATAACGATCACACTGGTACTTTAGCATACCAATAACGATCACACCGGTACTGCAGCATACTTATAACAATCACACCGGTACTGCAGCATACTGATAACAATCACGCTGTTACTTCAGCATATTCATTATAACGATTACACAGTTATTTCAGCTCATTTTATCTAATCCCTCACTCAGCCGTGCCAATTTACACTTGTCAGAGGGGTACATAAAGTACGTGATCTAGACTTCCAGTTATCAGACTTTCATTTTGTGGAAGCCTCGGTGGCTGAGTGGGTTAGATCGCTGACTTTGTGTGCTGGCGATTAGGTGCCTACTATGGCAGTGTGGGACTCAACCCACATAAGTGCTGGAATCTGTACTTTAAGGAGAAAGTGTCATCCCAATACAACTTTTGTTACATGTGACAACTTTCTAAATTACATTGTGTATTCCATATCTCGATGTGTTATTGTTTCAGAAAATGTGGGAACCTTTTTAGGGTAACACTTCAATGTCCTTTGTATATTCCAATATGGTTGCGACTTTTCATTACGCCCGTGATTGTGTGAATGTGTGAATGTGTCTGGGTTCTGTAGCAGTTACAGTTATACTTTCATTCATTAATCTGATCCCGTAAAACTTCGTTTCAAATATAATAACACACAAGATCATAAGTATTTCTAAAATCTAGAATTCAACTTATTCTAGTTCATTTCATTTTATCCACCGAGCTTGGTGTACATATCCAAGTGTCATGACGACATGAAGTCAGTGTCATGATGGTCACTTGACCGGAAGTAGTATTGAAGGACTGTGACCTTCATCTCAGTTCCGGTAACGTGACATATGCACGTGGTCTTCGTCTCTTGTGTACCGGCGCCAAGTGGCTAGTCTGATGAGCCAAGCTGCAGGGTCATGTCAGTCCCCGGAGGAAGGACCGTCCAGCTGCAGACATAAACAGTCGCATCTGACACCGCGGAGAACCAGCAGATCGTGCATGGGAGGGTTGTGGTTCTCACGTTTGAGCATCACACATGGACGGTATGCCCTGGGAGGAACGTCTTTATCCATCATTTCAGTTGGCTACCGTTTGTCACAGAGTGTGGCACCGCAAGTAGCATCTCTAGTGCCCCGCACGCGGGAATGAGTGAGTATGGTTTTACGCCGCTTTTTGCAATATTCCAGCAATATAACGGCGAGGGACACCAGAAATGAGTTTCATACAATGTATTTTAGGTCACGTTCTGGTTACCTGACGTTGAACAGTTTGGGAGTGGGGTGAGGTGGGGTTTGACGTCGCGTTGAAGATTATTGCACATATATGCTGTCTCCGGACAGACGCTCTATCCACTCGACCACGGAGGCGGTATTGAATGGTTAAGATGTATATAGGGAACGGGTTGTATTGTGAGTGTTGTATTACAGCCCGGCGTCTCCATACTGACACATTTTGTAAGGTGGTTCTATACCCTTTAGTATTGTATTCACTGTATTCCCAGACGACTGAGCGATTACCTATTGTAAGTTATATAAGGGTGTACCAAGCATAGCAGTAGAGACCCACTTTCACCGCCACAGTGATCAGGCCGCAGCTTAAGCCAGACCCTGAACACAAAGACGGCTCCCCCCAGGAATACGCTCACTTGACTCAATGTTTGCCTCGGCAGAAGACAACAACATGTGTATCAGGATATTACTCCACTTCTCTTTAACCTGCTTTATGTAAAAATCGCGATCTAACTGAGAACTAATTTCTCCTACTCATCGGTATGTCTTTCTAGTCACTGCAAAAAGCCTTTAGTCGTGTTAGTTAAAGTCAGCCACGTAAAATAATTCATGTAGTAAATGGTTTGTCATGTTTTAATTTTGTATGAGTTTCAACTGTACAACAATGTCGATTCATCACGTAACGTTGTTCGAAGATGGCTCTGTTCACCAAACAGTGAATGAACTCCCGGCAGTATGTAATGTGACTGTTCACCTTCAAAGGTTGTATTCTCCTCAGGGAGATGAGAATGAAAATCGAGTGCACACTGATCCATTCAACGCGGTAATAATGTCACACTTGGAACATGCTTTGGGGTGTGGATTTGGCCCATTATAAATATGCACATTATTCTTATTATCTAGACAAACATATTTTCAGGTGTGGTATTCCTGAATTCCGAGTTTTGGTCACTTTGGTGAGGATTGGTCGGCAGTTCTTCAAAGTTAGCATTCCCGTCCAGCTTTCTGTAGTCATGGTCGCCATCTTGGCTGTCACAGATGTCCAGGCGCTGGTAGGTGTTGCTGTCTGAGTCCTCTGCCATGTGTTCATGAAACGGCACTTCTGATTGGTCAGGTGGTTCAATCACGTGATCAAAGTGGGTGTACGTGTGCTCGTTTGTAGGCATGCTTGCCGTCGCCTTACGGTTACAACAGCATCTGGAATGCTGGATTACTTTGCTGAAACAGAAGTAAGGAATAGAAACTCTTAGACGTCACACATGATTGTTTTCCTGCGAATGGTTGTCAATAATTGTTGTCAATAAGTGGTGAGTCTTGTTTGACCCGTGTTCTAGTTGTATAACGGCGTGAAAGCTTCATGTGGGAGGAAAAACCAGATGTGATGCAGGTATTACACTTTTACCGCTTTGTGAAACCCACGAACACCTGTATGGTGCTCACAAACCTAAAACCTACTCAGGTCGAACCGGGATTCTGACCCACGATCCTAGATTTCTGGTACCCTAAGGGACACACATGAGCATGTTAATAGACAGTTACCGTTCAGTAGCTAAACATGTCGTTACATCCTGGAGTATGCTACTTACAAATACACGACTGCTGCAACCAGGAGGAGAAGGCCTATGACAGCCACTGCTCCAACGACACTCCCTACTATCACGGCAGTGTCTTCTGAAATCGTTACATAAACTGTCTACATCAAAGCGGTAATTTTCAACATGCTCTTGCAGGGTGTGGGTTACCATATCTACTACACAACGAGAGAGAGAGAGAGAGAGAGAGAGAGAGAGAGAGAGGGAGGGAGAGATTGAGAGAGAGAGAGAGAGAGAGAGAGAGAGAGAGAGAGAGAGAGAGAGAGAGAATTCGTAGTCAAATCTGATTGACGTTTCAAAGGTAAAATGTTAAACAGTTTGTCAACAGATTTAATATTACACGTTTGTCATCACGAGTGTCTTTCATTCAATACCTGCTCTGTTGGGTTACCCCCAGTGAGATGAAGTCCCCGGTGCCTGATGCTGATTACAGGAAGAAACTGAACTAGGGAGTTTGACCTGCTCAAAGTATGTCATCGTTCACTGAAGGCGTTGATCGTCGACCGGTGTGGTCGATCATTATAGGCAGCGGTAAACAACATTCACTCGAATATTTACTTATCTAAGTACAAAAAGTTTATTATCAACTTACCTTTGACGTTTGCAGGTGGTTTTAAAGACGATAGTGTGTGTGCAGGTGCACCTCCACTGCACGTGACTGTCATGGATGCTGCACCTGCCAATGTTTTATTAGTTACTATCGTTATGACGCATTGATCAACCATTCCTCCAGTTTAATTAAAATTAGATCTTAGTTCTCGCTACCGCCCCAAAAAAACAACATCTGAGGACATCCCATTGCAGGTCATGTCAGAACGACCTTTCATCTGACCAATCAGAGCATCGCTTATCAGATCATGAAAATGACAATTGGAATGTGATTTGTTATCGTGCAACCTTGAAAAAACACACACATGGTATTCCGAACGACAGTTATGTCTGTATTCATACAATCTAGACCATCTGTTTGCCATTCCAGAATGTGAGAGTATATGTCAAAGCGCAGTCGCCAGTTTGAAACTCGTACCGTAGAGCTCGATTAAGCTGCCTTCTGATTGGCTATTGTCGACTTCTTGTTAGTCATTCCATTGGTCGGTCAAACTTCGCGAAAGGTCGGTCTGACGTGACCCCTAATGGGATGTCCTCAGATCTTCGTTTAGTGGTAGCGAGAACTAAGATCTGATTTCATGAAATTCCTATTCCACGCGCTGTAAACGTCAACACATATCTGCCCAACACAGAGAGGTGATGCAACTACATAAGTTCTAGAAATGTTACATCACAGTCTGTCTCGGACGCTTAACTCTTTTGTGAAATCCCCGAGTATGGATATGGTGCTGACAGGCCAAGGATCATAATTGGAAAGAATTTGGGATTCGAACCCGTGAACCACGGATACTTACACAAGGAATATCAGTACCTTCCATCGCCGTGCCATAAGTAGCAATGTACATATAAATGCATATTATACATGTAACACAGTGATGTATTGTGCGGAACAAGAATTGTTAGGTTTGTTTGTCAGAGAACAGGTTTCTACACTACTATACCTAGTGTTTGTTTGTTTGTTGTTTAACGTCGCACTCAGCAATATTCCAGCTATATGAAGGCGGTCTGTGAATAATCGACCAGACAATCCAGTGATTGACATCATGAGCATCTATCCACGCAATTGGGATACGATGACATGCATCAAACAAGTCAGCGAGCCTGACCACCCGATCCCGTTAGTCGCACCTTACGACAAGCATAGTCGTTTTTTTACGGCAAGCATGGGTTGCTGAAGACCTATTCCACCCCGGATCATCACGGGTCACTATACCTAGTGAACAGTGTAACAAAGTAAATACACATTCACCTACTTTCTATCTTTATCCAGGCATGTTGACCTATTTTCACGTTAGCAGCAAGACTCAGGTGTAAACTGTCCACGCTGTCCATTGCTTGAGTATTGTACACAAAGTAGTGATCAGGGTGGGAGTTCCACAAAGAGTTTTCTCCCCTTAACGTCATGGTGGCTCTGTCACCCTCCCTGTGCCTGAAGAACAGTCCCAGGATGTACACGTTCATGGCCGCGCCCACGACGTGGCAGGCGCACGTGTTGCTGGTGTTGAGAACACCACGTGGGTAGTTGGGAGTTGCGAGGTACAGGGTATAACCAGCTCCAGAAGAAACCGCTGTGTTGCTGCAGATATCTAAATAGGGATCTGGAATTGAAGACAATAATAATAATAATGAGTGTCAACCAAGCGAAGTGCCATATCAAATCGGCCAAGACTCATTTTTTAAAGGAGAGGCTATCTGAACGACCACTGCATCGAGTGTATGTGCAATTTGTTGAGAAGATCAGCAATCCTGCAGAGTCCTTTGCTTGGATGAAGTCGTCTGGACTGAAAAGTGAAACAGAAGGCTTTCTGTTTGCTGCTCAGGACCAGTCACTTCCAACTCGAAACCGTCAATGTGTGATTTTGCATCAAAATATGAATATGAAATGTAGATTATGCAATTAATTTAATGAGACTGTCCAACACATTGTCAGTGGGTGTCCAGCTTTGGCACAGACAGAATATCTTAAGCGACATGACGGGGTGGCTCGATCATTTTATTACCGTCTTCGCCATGCTTGTGGTTTTGACACAGAGGTCCACCCATGGTACGACCCGGAATATGAAGAGGGCATCATGGAAAATGATGAATACAAAATTCTTTGGAATAGGCCCATTGACAGCCTCAGCCTCTGCATTTTTTTTATTTTAATCTGTAAATAATAATAATAATGAGGAAAGGAAAAGGAATTCATTGATAATGAAACGTCTGTGAATTTGACAATGTTACTTCTTACATCATATGAAAGAACGTATCATAATCTAGACAAATGTCCTGGTCTGTGTACAGCAAGGGATAGGAGACCTGGTGGTAAGCAGCCAGTCACACCGTGAAACACACGTACCCGTCACACACTCATATGACAGTGTCACGATATATGACGTTGTGGGTCCACACGTGTCAGTCAACCAGAAACTCGAGATTCCCTGCAGGCAGGATGAAGCCCCTTGGCAGTCAGTCCGCAGCCCTTGTTTCTGAGTCTCCTGCAGGTATTCACACGTGTCGTCCTGTGTGACACATCCTGGTGACGTCTTCCTGTACAGGACGCGGACCAGGTGGATCCTGCCAGGGTGCCCGCACTGCAGGCTCGTGGACGTCTCGGACTGATTGCTACATACATGCCTGGACAACAGTTCACCTGAAACACGGTGGAGTCGTTTTGAGTTTGTTTGTTGAGTCCACTAAAATACAAATATGTCTCGGTATCACTGTCTAGGTGTTATACACATATGTGTCTGTATAACTGTCTTGGTGTTGTCAAACTGATATACGGGGCGGTCGGGTAGCCTAGTGGTTAAAGAGTTCGCTCGAAGACACGGGTTCGATTCCCGACATGGGTACAACGTGTGAAGCCCCTTTCTTGTGTCCCCCGCCGTGATATTACTGGAATATTGCTAAAAGCGGCGTAAAACCATACTCACTCACTCAAACTGATATGCACTAATGTTATAAAGTGTAGTAACATCTATAAAAACATGAGGGTTGAGACACACAGGCAAGACGCCGGCATCCCAATGGCGCTCCCTTTCTTGCTGATCTGTTTCTTAATGCTCATGAATCAGAATTTCTGCTCGGATCAAAATCGCAAGGGAATTTGCCCAAGAAGTAACATAAGTGTCGCCGGGTATACATTTAAAACACGTATTTTCACATGACTTAGCTCTCTCTGTCCGTTTACGTACTCTTCATCTCTTACTCCTACTCCTGATTGTCTGACCAGCTGTATCTCGTGCACATACCCGGGGTGTGATGTGGACACTTTAAATTGTCACTTTTTGTCACGCCACAGCCGAGGGAAGACCTTCTTGCTCCCTCGACTCAACATCAATTCATATTGATGCCATTTATATCTTTTACAGATTTGTACCCTTATCTATCTGCTTTCTTTATGGTACGCTAGTTGATAGAAAGGTAACGCGATCGTAGAAACTAAATCATAAATGTAATCAATTGTGAATATTCTACTCCATTAAAAGGCATCGCGTTGCACGAGATTACCAATTCACTGTATGCATGTCCTATGTTAATCATGCATATATTATATTTAGGAGATCAACATACTGTGTTTTCAATGTAGAGCTAGGTTACCTGTAGATTTAACCCCACTAAATTGAATTTGGAACCGAACGCGCAGCGTGAGGCTTCAAATGTTAAATTTAGCGCGGTTAAATCTACAGGTAACCTAGCTCTACATTGAAAACACAGTATGTTTATCTCCATTCTACCATGACTAAATAAAACGCGAACTCTTTGATGTTAGCAAATATACTGAGTGAAGCGGCATTGGTTGAGTTCAGTGTTTTGAGTGGGTTATCGATCTGAATTACGGAATCACCGAACAAAATGTGGCGCTGTATATACTCAAGCAGTTTGTTTACACCGTAATACTTCACTGGAACATATGACAGGCATTGAAAGCATATAAGCACGGCAACTTGCTAAGCTAACATGAGGTGGGCATCCCTTAAGAAAACAAAGCAAGCTTTGCAAGGCTTTCGCTCTACATCGCAAACGATATGACGTCACAGTCGTATATAGAAAAGCGCCAAAATTCCAAGCTCTCTGTTGTCTCCAAAACGTAAATACATTCAACACGTCCCATTTTAATTCTGGAAACCCAAAAGTCCAGAAACTCTACGGTCTTTACCGACTCTCGGTCAAAGGTATTTACAAAATTAAACATGCTGTTTTCATGGGAACATACCAAGGAAGAAAAAAATTAAAAAAAATTGTTAAAAAACTCAATATTTACACTTTCTCGCCCATGGGCCTGCCCATGGGCGAGAATATGTTCCATTACTCAAAATTCATGTTTTTGTTTGGCAAATACATTAAATGTATTTATTCAAGTATCATGACACAAAATTTAACTCATTTTAACTTAATTCAACTATTTTATAGCGATATTGAAATATTTCGCCCATGGGCGAGAAATAGGTTTGGCCCATGGGCGAGAATATGATCCTTTACTTAAAACTCATGTTTTTGTTTCGCAAATACATTAAATGTAGTCATTCAAGTATCATGACACAAAATTTAACTCATTTTAACTTAATTCAACTATTTTATAGCAATATTGAAATATTTGGCCCATGGGGGAGAAAAAGGTTTGGCCCATGGGCGAGAATATTTTCCTTTGCTCAACAGTTTTAGTTTCGCAAATACATAAAGGTTTCCCTTTTTAGATTTAAATCGTGTTTTCTGCATGAAATGTATTGCCACACATCCTTTAAATATTGTAGTAACCGCATCTGTGCATTTTGTAACCTGTAATTGTAGATATAATTATTTAAATATGCCTACCGACAATGGCTGAAAATAGTACTTTTCTATGAATATTAGCTTCCGCGGTGATGCGGGCGTCAAACCAGCTGTTTCAATCAGAGTTTTTTTGTGATTTAATAGCCTCTGATTGACTAATCAGAATCGAGTAAATTTCAAATTCATGGTAGAATATTGCATAACATATCATAAAATTGTACTTTTTAATGTTTTGACGTTACCCCTTGTGTGTGCCACCGAAAACATTCGTTGTTACAGCTGATTTATGTAAAGTAACAACGTTAGAATCTGGTATTTAGCCAACCTATTGAAAGTAACAGTGTTAAAATATTGTATTTCAGCAATAAAGTCAAGTTAACCTTCAAGTCAAGGAATAGCTCCAGCCTTTGATGTGCACATTTCACAAGTTCTGAGAGACATTCGACCTTGCTCTTTCTATGAAGATTCCCACAGTTGTCATTCATACGACTCTTCCTCACTTGTCTTATCAAGGTTAGCATATTCAGTAAATAATTCAGAACGTGTCAGGAGAGACATGTGGAGGCCATTTCCAAATGTTACGCATCTCTGACAACAATCATATCGGATGCAATTCCCTGCTATCTGCTCCCATGTTCTTTCAGATGAACAACTGACTTGCCTTTGCGTGTGTTTGTGCCCAGTGCTACAGGTGGGGCGCGATTTACTCACTTTATCGCGGATAGTTGGTATCATCACTATTTGATAGAGATTCGTGTACACATGCTCAGGGTAAAGTCGGAGGAATCGCACAACTGACTCTGCATCAGGACGAGGTTTCTTATGACCATCTTTTAACATTTTTTGGTGTGACGGGGATCGAACCCCTACCTTCCCCTCTCCGGGCGGACGCTCTACCACTAGACCACGGAAGCTGTATTGATCTTCTCCCATGATAAATGTACACCAGCACTATTTTTGCGAGGCGCTCTAGTTCACCACAATGCTGAAGTAACATGACCAACTGTAACAATATTTGTATATATGACTTCCTACCAAAATAAATTAAATCATGATATCGTAGTTTTGTTTTTCGAACGATATGGCTTATGAACAACAATTCTTGATTTATCTGGCGGTGTCTCCCACTCATATCACGTACTAAATGTTACCTATAAAAAAACAATAGGTTTAACTTCAAGCATCTCGACACGAGACATCTAAGGCACATTGTGAAAATTACAAACATCAGGAAACAATGGCAGCTTCGACCATGTTCACATGAAAGCCCTACTGATACCGTCCATGTGTATTTACACGAAAGCCCTACTGATACTGCCCCTATGTATTCCCATGAAAGCCCTACTGATGCTGCCCTAATGTATTCACATAAAAGCCCAACTGATACCGTCCGTATGTATTCACATGAAAGCCCTACTGATATCGCACCTGTGTATTCCAATGAAAGCCCTACTGATACTGCCCCTATGTATTCCCATGAAAGTAATACTGATACTGCCCCAATTTATTCCAACGAAAGCCCTACTGATACCGTCCCTATAAATTCACATGAAAGCCCCACTGATACCGTCCCTATGAATTCACATGAAAACCCTACTGATACCGTCCCAATGAATTCACATGAAAGCTCTACTGATACTGCCCCTATGTATTCGCATAAAAGTCCTACTGATACCGTCCTTCTGTATTCACATGAAATTCCTACTGATACTGCCCCTATGTATTCGGATAAACGTCATACTGATACCGTCCGTATGTATTCACATGAAAGCCCTACTGATACTGCCCCTATGTATTCGGATAAACGTCATACTGATACCGTCCGTATGTATTCACATGAAAGCCCTACTGATATCGAACCTGTGAATTCCTATGCAAGCCCTACTGATACCGTCCTTGTGTATTCACATGAAATCCCTACTGATACTGCCCTTATATATTCACATGAAAACAATACTGATACTGCCCCAATGTATTCAAATGAAAGCCCTACTGATACCGCCCCTATGTATTCCCATGAACGCCATACTGATACCGCCCCTAAGTATTCCCAGGAAAGCTCTACTGATAGTGCACCTATGTATTCACATTAAATCCCTACTGATACTGCCTCTATTTATTATTATGAAAGCCCTACTGATATCGTCCGTATGTATTCACATGAAAGTCCTACTGATACCGTCCCTATGTATTCCTATGCAAGCCCTACTGATACCGTCCTTATTTATTCACATGAAAGCCCTACTGATACTGCCCTTATGTATTCACATGAAAGCCCTACTGATACTGCCCTTATGTATTCCCATGAAAGCCCTACTGATACCATCCTTATGTATTCATATGAAAGTCCTACTGATACCGCCCCCTATTTATTCCCATGAAAGTCCTACTGATAACGCCCCTATGTATTCCCAGAAAAGCTCTACTGATAGTGCCCCTATGTATTCACATTAAAACCCTACTGATACTGCCTCTACGTATTCACCAGAAAGCCCTACTGATATCGTCCGTGTGTATTCACATGAAAGTCCTACTGATACTGTCTTATGTATTCACATGAAAGCCCAACTGATACCGTCCCTCTGTATTCCCATGCAAGCCCTACTGATACTACCCCTATGTATTCGCACGCAAGTCCAACTAATACTGCCCCAATGTATTCCCATGAAAACCCTACTGATAACATCCTTATGTATTCACATGAAAGCCCAACTGATATCGTCCCTCTGTATTCCCATGCAAGCCCTACTGATACTACCCCTATGTATTCGCACGCAAGTCCAACTAATACTGCCCCAATGTATTCCCATGAAAACCCTACTGATAACATCCTTATGTATTCACATGAAAGCCCTACTGATACTGCCCTTATGTTTTCCCATGAAAGCCCTACTGATAACATCCTTATGTATTCACATGAACGCCACACTGATACCGCCCCTATGTATTTCCAGGAAAGCTCTACTGATAGTGCACCTATGTATTCACATTAAAACCCTACTTATACTGCCTCTACGTATTCACATAAAAACCCTACTGATATCGCCCCTATGTATTCACATGAACGTTTTATTGATACCGCCCTTATGTATTCCCATAAAAGCAGTACTGATACCGTCCTTATGAATTCACATGCAAGCCCTACTGATACTGCCCCTATGTATTCACATGAACGTTCTATTGATACCGCCCTTATGTATTCCCATAAAAGTGGTACTGATACCGTCCTTATGAGTTTACATGCAAGCCCTACTGATACCGCCCCTATGTATTCTCATGAACGCCATACTGATACCGCCCCTATGTATTCCCAGAAAAGCTCTACTGATAGTGCACCTATGTATTCACATTAAATCCCTACTGATACTGCCTCTACGTATTCACATGAAAGCCCTACCGATACTAACCCTATGAATTCACATGAAAGCCCTATTGATACTGTCTTAAGTATTCACATAAAAGCCCTACTGATACCGTCCTTGTGTATTCACATGAAATTCCTACTGATACCACTCCTAGGTATTCACATGAAAGCCCTACTGATACTGCCCCTATGTATTCGGATAAAAGTCATACTTATACCGTCTTTGTGTATTTACATGAACGCCCTACCGATACCGCCCCTATGTATTCGGATAAACGTCCTACTGATACCGTCCTTGTGTATTCACATGACAGCCATTCTGATACCCTCCCTATAAATTCACATGAAAGCCCTACTGATACTGCCCCTATGTATTCGGATAAACGTCCTACTGATACCGTCCTTGTGTATTCACATGACAGCCATGCTGATACCCTCCCTATATATTCACATGAAAGCCCTACTGATACTGCCCCTATGTATTCGCATGAAAGACCTACTGATACTGCACCTATGTATTCACATGACAGCCATTCTTATACCCTCCCTATATATTCACATGAAAGCCCTACTGACACTGCCCCTATGTATTCCCATGAAAGAAACCTAATGATACTACACCTATGTATTCACATGAAAGCCCTACTGATGCTGCATCTATGTATTCACATGACAGCCCTACTGATACCGTCTTATGTATTCACATGAAAGCCCTACTGATACCGCCCTTATGTATTCACATGAAAGTACTGTGCAGGTGGTTGTAGGAAGGGATGATAACTGCCAGGTCTACCCTCTGTTGATGGATTGTTTACATTAGTTGTGTTTTTCCTGATTTGCTGTATTCCCGGATAAGACCTCCTCGGTCTGATGTAGTTTACACCCCGCTTGTTGACGACGTGTACGTCGTGTTGATGTCATTGATAGCATGGGCGTATCGATTAGTGAAGACACCGACAGACGAAACCAGTCAACTAGGATTGTATAGATAAAAAATAGTTTGCAACACCTTCATAGCTGATACGAGTACTGGCGACTAAATTAACAACAAACGAGTGTATTCGTTACATTTGACACTCATAACTACACCGACATCCTGCATCTGTAGCGTACAGCTACTTGCAACAGCAACATCTACCCTCGACAGTTTCTACAAGCAACATGTTAGATTCCTCTACTACTCACCCAGTGACAGGCTTGTGCACAGGCCGAGGATAAACACCACATTCGTCCATACAATCATACTTAGTTCAGGCAGTCTACAGCGTGTCAGCCTCGCCACAGTAGAGTGTCAGCCTCCCAGAATAGCGTGTCAGCCTCGCCACAGTAGAGTGTCAGCCTCCCCAGAATAGCGTGTCAGCCTCCCTAGAATAGCGTGTCAGCCTCCCCAGAACAGCGTGTCAGCCTCCCCAGAACAGCGTGTCAGCCTCCCCAGAATAGCGTGTCAGCCTCCCCAGAACAGCGTGTCAGCCTCCCCAGAATAGCGTGTCAGCCTCCCCAGAATAGCGTGTCAGCCTCCCCAGAATAGCGTGTCAGCCTCCCCAGAACAGCGTGTCAGCCTCCCCAGAACAGCGTGTCAGCCTCCCCAGAACAGCGTGTCAGCCTCCCCAGAACAGCGTGTCAGCCTCGCCACAGTAGCATGTCTTCCCCTCTTCTCTTTTCTAGGTACTCTGCAATGTCATGTCCCATATAATGTTTTCTTCACCGTCTGCAGTGATCTACTCCTTGACAAACACGTTTCTCAAGTCTGTCGGGTTTGTGTTCGCCTGTTTGAGTACAAGTATAAAAATGCCCTTCGCACGCCTCGGCGATTTTAAATGCTCATGTTGGGGTGCATTTGATGAAGACATTTAGTATTCATCCTATTTGCTCGAATACATAGATATATATTTCCTTTAGAGATCTTCTCTGGGTGTGTCGTGCTTTTACGTTAAACATATACATGAGATGTCCTCTTAACAGTCATTCACAATACTGGGTCAGGGCGCCCTGTATGTACATATATGTGTATCCTCTTCAGAAGATATTCACAATGCTGGGTCAGGGTGCCCTATACGGAGCTCACAGTAGAGGATTAGTGTCGCATGTGCTCTGATCCCGACGTGGTGTCTTTAACATCTGTCTAGACACAATCAGTGTGTGTCACGTTTCTTCACGTGTGACCGAGATTGTGTCTTGATACCTGCTCCAGCAATAGACCAAATACACACTGGGATATGATGTATATAGATCATTACACGGGCATATGCGTCATACTGCTTTACGAAATGAATCGTAATGCATGAATACATGAATTCTTATACGACTTTCGGATGACACGACTTTCAGTATGCAATAAGTTATCTATGTCACACTATTTCTCAATCCCCTTGAGCTCCCCTTCAGAAAAGTGTACTGATCACCATCGCCGTCTAAAGAACCACAATTGTCGAATGATGCCGACAATCCTCAGCTCTGACGTCGTTTCTAGTGTGACGTCATTTCGACCTTACATCACAATACGATTCGAATGACGTCAACGATGCCGTGTGGATGACTTGGTTAATTTATATATTATAAAACATATATGCATATTTATCATATAATGGGAAGGTTTCTCGGCAGGATAAAGCCAACGGATAAAAACGATATCCGTTGGGGTCATATGCGGATAGAGATGCAAATATCAAAGGTCAAGTAGGGACTACTTTCACTGTTTATAAACAAACATGGCGTCGCCCTCGTCATTCGGCGATCGAGTCAGAATTAACCATCGGGAATCTGGATAAACTACAGAGATAATTGCTTTCATTATCAAAAGAACAGTCTTATATACTGAAAATCAGTGTCTAACTGTGACGTAGCTAAGGCATTTTATAAGTTTTGGCAACTTTGGAGATATAAATTTCGACACAATTTTGCGAGGGCACGAGGCCTAGCCAAGCGGGATCAGTAGCCATATCTGTGCTTGTAGACCTCTGCGGCTTGAACCTTTCTCCACAAATTAAAAAAGTTGGATTTGGCCGAAATATGTTTGAATTGTTACCTTGTTTCGTTTTGTCGCTGTGTGTACATCTGACTACACTTCTTAACGTTATGACAGGACAGACCGACTGTCAACAACGTCTGAACGTGGCCGTGACGTCTCATTGACTAGGGTAAGAGTAGCTTCCCTTTGACAAAGGGCAGTTAATCTAGCAGACAGACCGATGATCGATTGCCGCGAAAGGAAATTAAAAACAATTGTTGTTTTGCGTATATGTTGCTTCGCCACTGTATAAGAAACAGATTTCAGTTGGAACTATATTGGCTACTGTCACTGTCCGACTGACACATCACTTACCCTGTGACGTAATAAATATTAATGCGCGCATTCCAGGAAAACTCGCAATGTTTCGGTAATGTTTTTGAGAGAGGGAAAGCGATTTTGAAACACAGATTTAAAAAAATGACATTTATATGATAAAGAGGTTATCACGCATGTGTGTTTGGGGATGGTAAATATCCTGTATTAGGAATAAACACTATGTATTTAGCTCGCCAAGGCTCGCTTAATACAATGTTTATTCCTAATGCAGGATATTTACCATCCCCAAACACACACGCGTGATAACCTCTATGTATTTGTTTGAGTTCCCCTATGGGACTGGACACACAGGTAGGTTTCCCCACCCTATGGATGAGGCATTACATCATGATTCCACTTCTTTACAACTCTGGGCCCCGTTCCACAAAGCAATCTTAGCGCTACGACTGTCGTAAGTCATGATCAGTGTTAAAGAATGGGAGTTACAATCACCTTAGCGCTACGACTGTCGTAAGTCATGATCAGTGTTAAAGAATGCGAGTTACAATCACCTTAGCGCTACGACTGTCGTGAGTCATGATCAGTGTTAAAGAATGGGAGTTACAATCACCTTAGCGCTAAGATCGCTTTGTGGAACGGGGCCCTGGACAGACGCAGCAGGAGACATTGTTTCCCTGTTATACGTAAATTATTATTCATTTTTTTATTGATATCAAGAACAGTTTTTAGTTTGGGTGTAATGGGTGATTTGATTACTTCAGTATTTTGTAGAGTAATAACTTCAGAATCATCGTTTTCTACACTGACACCATGCCCAAGAACAGTCCTATAATTATCCATGTTTTGTTATGGATGTTATTCCAGGCCACCTTAAAAAAAATCAACCTAAGGGGCAAAACATTTTGGCATTAGAATAGATACTGTCACGTGGTGTCTAGACATCCACAAAATTCAATTTAATTCTACACTCTTCAAAAAAGAAAACGCACGGGTGGATTTTTAGGAAATGTGTTGTACATAATAAAGTCGATATATTTCATTTAATATCATTGATACAAATGTGAAATTCTTGAGCTCGATAGTCACATGTTGTCGTTGTACAAAGGCATTGAAAACTGTTCATTGTCACGACACAAAAGGCCACAAGGTTGCGCTGAAATCAGTATCTCGTGTGACCGCCCCGGGCAGCAATCACGACTCAGCATCTCCTCGGCACTGACTGGATAAGTGTACAAATTCTGTCCTGCGCCATTCTGCTTGTAACGCGTTGGCCAGTTGTGGGGGTGTCTGCGGCGTGTTCTGACGTTGACGTTCACATCGATCGAGTACATCCTAGAGGTGTTCGATTGGGTTGAAATCTGGAGATCTCGACGCCAGGGCAAGCCGTTGATGTTGGCATTATGAAGGTAGTCTACCGTGACACGAGCTGTGTGCTGTAGAGCGTTGTCCTGTTGAAACAGCTTCCTCTGAAGGTGAGGTTGAAGAATTTGATTCATGTAGCGATTTGCTGTCAAATTTCCCTGAACCACAAGCAGGTCAGATCTTGTGGTGTAGGATATGCCCCCACCCCAACTGTGTGTATCGGTCACAAAGGCGGCAAATGGTGCTGTGGTGGACGTTGAAGTGGCGTGCAACAGAAAACTGCGATTCCCCTCTTTGGAGGTCTCGGCATTTTCGAACTTGAAAAATGTTGACAATAATTATTGAATGACAAATTATTGGCTTATGCTTGCCTTTTGCTTTACTGTTTTCCTCCCTGACATTTTTGAACAAGTGTGAAAAAAATGCCGTTTAAGACATTGCAAATCGACAATGGCTGCGTTTTGACGCACCGTCTGTCGAATATCCGGCCACCAACATTTTCGAATAACATATATCCAATTTATAAACCGGATTTTTTGTGTAGTCCATGGACTACATACTACCTGTGCGTTTCTTTTTTTGAAGAGTGTAATCAAGTCGGCCAACCCCAACTGTTTGAAGTTTAGGGAAAGACGGCACGCAGCAGAGCCCTCGCTGAATTCCTTCGCGATTTATATCTCCAAAGTTGCTAAAACGTGAGAAATGATTCACCTGCGTCCCAGGTGGACACTGCTTTTCAGTATCACAGACATTTGTTGTGATAACGATAACAATTACCCCAGGAGTTTCTCCAATATTCCCAATAGTTAATTCTGTCTCGATCGCAGATTGACAAGGGCGACGCCATGTTTGTTTGTAAACACTGAAAGTAGTACCTACCTGACCTTTCATATTTGCCTCTTTATCCGTACATGGCCCCACCCACATATAATAAATGTGTCGAAAGTGAACAACGAGGTAAACTCACTCTGGATACGCACACTTCCTCGTCACGTTTACCAGATAAAAGTGTTACATTAATGTGTTACAGTATAGTGTTACATTATTTCCCCGCAAATGTCCATTGACTGCAGCAGTTTCCTTGGCGCGGCATCAGCGTCAACAGTGTTGATACAACATGTTCTGTAGTGTTGGGGGCACGGGTGGCACAGTCGTCTAAGGCTCCGCGATTCGATCTGCAGAATTACGTCCCTTGGCCACGCCAGAAACCTATGATTGTGGGTTCGAATCCCGGTTCGCCCCGATTATGTTTCTAATTTTGTCAGCACCATACCCGTGCTCGTGGGTTTCAACGAAGTGGTAAACGTCTGAGACCTGCATCACCTGCATGTGCTTTCATCCCACATTGAGCTGACCCAACTGATATAGTGAGTGAATATAGTTTTACGCCGTTTTTTAAGCAATATTCCAGCAATATCACGGCGGGGGACACCAGAAATGGGCTTCACACATTGTACCCATGTCGGGAATCGAACACAGGTCTTCGGCGTGACGAGCGAACGCTTTAACCACTAGGCTACCCGACCGCCCCCCCCCCCCCCCCCCCCCCCCAACTGATATAACTGGAATAATGTTAAAAGCGGCGTTAAACTCAACTCACTCACTCACTCACTCACTCACTCTGTTCTGTTCTGTGGCCTCGAGACAGACCCTGTGTTTTATTTATGTCTATGTATCATATATCTCTGTATCATATATGTCTCATGTATCATGTATCTCTGTATCTTCTATCTTCCTTTATTATACCTCAAAGTGAGATTGGCCAATCAGAGAGCAGAACAACTGACCCCACATGAGCCCTTATCCCGTCAGTAAAATCCAGGATGGTTGTTACTGACCTCATATGAGACCGTATACCGTCAGTTGCAGCCATCTTGGATTTTCCAACACCCACTTGTCACATGAAAATTTGAGAAATTCGTTATTCGACACTGTTAATTGTGATGTGCAAGGACATTAATCTTTTTTTAGACCATGTTCGTGACGTTATTGATAAAGATTATAGCTAAAATTATCAACGAGGTTTGGCTTCTAAATTTTAAAGAGTAGTCTCCCTTTGACCCTCAACGTCCACATTTGTAAGTGTCAAGTTCTCATTCTGACAACATGGGCGATATAAATACCAGAGTGTGTAAACTTTTCGCCATGATAAATTCGTTATGGTGTCTTAGTTGCCGTATTCGGTGTTATATTAGATTAGTAATATAGGTAACCTAATATGACACTGCATACGGCAACTAATGACGCCCTAACTAATAGTATGGAACCAATGCATAAACAGAGAAGACATTGACGTACTTACAATAATGTATTTATTAATGGACACGGATATGATAAGTAGTATATGCAAGCAAGGCAGATATAAACTGAGACACTTTACGCACAGAAATCAAATAAACTGTTCTGGGTATTTAGGCATGAGATAATCAAACACAGCACCGTCGACGTACGGGTTCGAATCTCATGCCTTGTGTTTAGAGATGAATTTCAGCCCCAAACACGTATTTCGAGTTAAAGTTGATTTAAAGTTGATTAAGGTTGAATGTCTATATATGAATGTGCAGGTTTCAACCGTACGTTGATATACACAATATACAATGACCCAGATTAAGTGTTGCATCTTGTGTGCCTGGGTCAAGCTCCTGACACGTGATCAGCTCAGGCAGGGACAGTATGGGGATCAGTGAACCTATCGCGATACACACTTCCAGCAAACCCCACGGAAGTGAAAACTAGGTATTTGATACCTACACATGATTAATACATATATCAGCTGTATATGACAAATTACTTGGGCAGGTATCTTTTATACAGCACAACATTAGCGATTTAGCCTTTCGAATTTTCTCTTGAGACTAGGAATGAATGATTTGAAACAAACGATATGCTTTGATGGTTCGCAACTGCTGATATACCAGCATGCACTTGATTATCAATGTATAGAGGTGGCTTGAAGTGGGGCCTGGTGAGGCCACAGTCATCGTGACGATATCCATTACAAAGTGAGGCTTCTCGAAGCTAGCAAAGTTCAAACCCGTCGGCAATGAAATCAGTGGTTGGAGGGTGTGCGAGGATGAAGTCAAGTTTGTTTGACCTATCCAAAGTTGCCACAGTTGGTCATCAATGCAATAAGACACTGAATCCATCCTCTATATCATTCACGTCATGGCTGCAGGTCGTGATGCTCATAGGGAACGGCTGGCTGGTTCAGCAAATACTGTTGTTCAACTCGAGGCGTGAAGATGTCTCATATATGTCATTATCAACCATATCAACACTGTCAGCAGCTGTCGGCGTGAGGTTTGGGTCCGTGTCCGCTGTCTGGACATTGTCGTACATGTTGTTGTTTGATCCCGTGTCATACAGGTCATTGTCAACCATCTGTACTTTACTGTGTGGTTTGACCACAGACTGGTCAGGGTTTGATCCCGTGTCATACAGGTCATTGTCAACCATCTGTACTTTACTGTGTGGTTTGACCACAGACTGGGCAGGGTTTGATCCCGTGTCACACAGGTCATTGTCAACCATCTGTACTTTACTGTGTGGTTTGACCACAGACTGGGCAGGGTTTGATCCCGTGTCATACAGGTCATTGTCAACCATCTGTACTTTACTGTGTGGTTTGACCACAGACTGGGCAGGGTTTGATCCCGTGTCATACAGGTCATTGTCAACCATCTGTACTTTACTGTGTGGTTTGACCACAGACTGGGCAGGGTTTGATCCCGTGCCATACAGGTCATTGTCAACCATCTGTACTTTACTGTGTGGTTTGACCACAGACTGGACAGGGTTTAATCCCGTGTCATACAGGTCATTGTCAACCATCTGTACTTTACTGTGTGGTTTGACCACAGACTGGGCAGGGTTTGATCCCGTGTCATACAGGTCATTGTCAACCATCTGTACTTTACTGTGTGGTTTGACCACAGACTGGGCAGGGTTTGATCCCGTGCCATACAGGTCATTGTCAACCATCTGTACTTTACTGTGTGGTTTGACCACAGACTGGGCAGGGTTTGATCCCGTGTCATACAGGTCATTGTCAACCATGTCTACAACACTAAACCCCATCAGATCAGATGGAGCATACGCTGCGTCAGGTGGGTTAGAAGGTCGACAGAAGCGTGACTGGCACAACTCAATCGTGTCTGCTGCGCCAGGCATGGTCTCCGAGTTTCCCAATGTTACCATCATCACACTGCCTATGTCGGATACGTGTTCCTGTTCGTCTGTGGACGGGATGTCGAGATTATTGTAACTGATATCGTCACGGCCCGTCTTCATAGAATCTGGTTTGTCATCTCCGTGTGACGTGACAGCTTTGTGCCTGAAACAACATGACGTCATATTTCATACAGCGCAGGCCTTGATCAACATCGTTCATCGTATTTGCCATAGCTTGGTACATTTTGGTAAAGATATAATTGATGTACATTTTTGTGTATAGAATTCGTAAATACATTTGTACTTCGACTAATATGAGTAGGCACGTCGTAGTGCATCTTCTGTACACACTTTAGATGGGAAACACTATCAATTAAGTTATGTATGTTTAGAATATCAATATGAGATATGATTTTTTGAAATCCGAGGAACATGCTTGCATGGCTATAAGGATGATGGTGATGGTGATGACAACGACGGCAGCGACGAAGGCGGAGACGACGGTGATGAGAGGTGGGGTGTTGTCTGCAAGGGAATATAGGTAGTTGCTCTTTGACTTTCACCTTGATAACGACATTACGATGAACAAGAAAACGAGATGTATTGATACGAAGCGTGAAGAACGCGGCGTGTCAGCCTTAGGTGGGAAGAGTGTCGTAGGTTAGAGAAGTTCCCTACTGTGGGGCGTGGGGGGAGGGGCACGGGTGGCCCAGTCGTCTAATTTGCCGCGATTTGCTGTGCAGAGTTGCGTCCCTTGGGCACGCCAGAAACCTATGATCGTGGGTTTGAATCCCGGGTTCGCCCCGATTGTGTTTCTAGGTTTGTCAGTACCATACCCGTGTGTCTGGGTTTCACGTGCATCATCTCGGGCTTTCCTCCCACATTAAGCTGACACGCCGTGATATGACTGGAATACTGTTAAAAGCGGCGTTAAACCAACTCACTCACTCCCTACTTTGGTGTGTTCTACTTGCACTGAATCATAATCAGGATGAATGCAAACCAACGACCAGTGGATCCGGAGGCGGATGAGTGACAACGTCTGTTCCCTGACGTGGGGTGAGGGGGGAATACAAGCCGTGCCCCCATCGTTATGTCTGTTCCCTGACGTGGGGTGAGGGGGGAATACAAGTGGTGCCCCCATCGTTATGTCTGTTCCCTGACGTGGGGTGAGGTGGGAATACAAGCCGTGCCCCCATCGTTATGTCTGCTCCCTGACGTGGGGTGAGGGTGGGAATACAAGTGGTGCCCCCATCGTTATGTCTGTTCCCTGACGTGGGGTGAGGGTGGAAATACAAGCCGTGCCCCCATCGTTATGTCTGTTCCCTGACGTGGGGTGAGGGTGGGAATACAAGTGGTGCCCCCATCGTTATGTCTGTTCCCTGACGTGGGGTGAGGGTGGGAATACAAGTGGTGCCCCCATCGTTATGTCTGTTCCCTGACGTGGGGTGAGGGTGGGAATACAAGTGGTGCCCCCATCGTTATGTTTGCTCCCTGACGTGGGGTGAGAGTGGGAATACAAGTGGTGCCCCCATCGTTATGTCTGCTACCTGACGTGGGGTGAGAGTGGGAATACAAGTGGTGCCCCCATCGTTATGTCTGTTCCCTGACGTGGGGTGAGGGGGGGGGGGGGGGGGATACAAGTGGTGCCCCCATCGTTATGTCTGTTCCCTGACGTGGGGTGAGGGTGGGAATACAAGTGGTGCCCCCATCGTTATGTCTGTTCCCTGACGTGGGGTGAGGGTGGGAATACAAGTGGTGCCCCCATCGTTATGTCTGTTCCCTGACGTGGGGTGAGGGTGGAAATACAAGCCGTGCCCCCATCGTTATGTCTGTTCCCTGACGTGGGGTGAGGGTGGGAATACAAGTGGTGCCCCCATCGTTATGTCTGTTCCCTGACGTGGGGTGAGGGTGGGAATACAAGTGGTGCCCCCATCGTTATGTCTGTTCCCTGACGTGGGGTGAGGGTGGGAATACAAGTGGTGCCCCCATCGTCATGTCTGTTCCCTGACGTGGGGTGAGGGTGGAAATACAAGCCGTGCCCCCATCGTTATGTCTGTTCCCTGACGTGGGGTGAGGGTGGGAATACAAGTGGTGCCCCCATCGTTATGTCTGTTCCCTGACGTGGGGTGAGGATGGGAATACAAGTGGTGCCCCCATCGTTATGTCTGCTCCCTGACGTGGGGTGAGGGTGAGAATACAAGTGGTGCCCCCATCGTTATGTCTGTTCCCTGACGTGGGGTGAGGGTGGGAATACAAGTGGTGCCCCCATCGTTATATCTGCTCCCTGACGTGGGGTGAGGGTGGGAATACAGGTGGTGCCCCCATCGTTATGTCTGTTTCCTGACGTGGGGTGAGGGTGGGAATACAAGTGGTGCCCCCATCGTTATGTCTGCTCCCTGACGTGGGGTGAGGGTGAGAATACAAGTGGTGCCCCCATCGTTATGTCTGCTCCCTGACGTGGGGTGAGTGTGGGAATACAAGTGGTGCCCCCATCGTTATGTCTGCTCCCTTACGTGGGGTGAGGGTGAGAATACAAGTGGTGCCCCCATCGTTATGTCTGTTCCCTGACGTGGGGTGAGGGTGGGAATACAAGTGGTGCCCCCATCGTTATGTCTGTTCCCTGACGTGGGGTGAGGGTGGGAATACAAGTGGTGCCCCCATCGTTATGTCTGCTCCCTGACGTGGGGTGAGGGTGGGAATTCAAGTGGTGCCCCCATCGTTATGTCTGCTCCCTGACGTGGGGTGAGGGTGGGAATTCAAGTGGTGCCCCCATCGTTATGTCTGCTACCTGACGTGGGGTGAGGGTAGAAATACAAGTATCGATGTGACCGTGAAGCCTGCTCCCTGACGTATGTCTGGCTTGGAATACAATTGATGCGCCTACCGTTATCCCTGTCCCCTGACGTGGGATGTGGGGTATCTGGGGATGTCAGGCTGGAGTTCAGGGCCGTCCATGTTGATCCTGACGGAACGGTTGTACCCGTAGCTGTAGTCTCGGTGCTGTAGACATCAGTGGGTTCATGGTTTGTTGCAGAGTCAGTTTTCCCTGTCGATGCTGTCCCACTGTTTGCTGTTACTGATACTGTCTCGGTCGTTGTTGTACCACTGTTTGTTGTTACTGATGCTGTTTCGGGCGATGTTGTCCTACTGTTTGCTGTTACTGATGTCGTCTCGGTTGTTGTTGTGCTGCTGTTTACCGTTGCTGATGGTGATGGTGATGCTGATGATGCCCCACTACTGCTGGATTCAGACGAGGAATCCGTGGATGTCGGTCCGTTTGATTGAGAAGATGGTGCCAGTGTTGACGTCGTTCCACCTTACAATTACACATTGGTAATAATTTGCCGACAGCTGCTTTATCACAGGTATTTTGATGGTGGAAAGTACTCGTGATTAACCCAATGCTAGAGTCTCAGCTCATAATTCTTCGTCGGTCTAAAGGGAAACTGTTAAAATTGATTCGACTTACCTTATATCTACAAAACTAAGATGTACCCGAGACGGGCCATAATGCCCTCATTGTGTTCTACAGACACTGCACACATCGCCAAACTGAAACATTTCAGGCGAGTACATTGGCCTTCATTGCAGTAAATCATCGCCAGGGGGTCACATACACGTAGCTCGTCAGGGGATCTTATACATGTAGCTCACATCGTCAGGGTGTCTTATCAATGTAGCTCACATCGTCAGGGTGTCATATCAATGTAGCTCACATCGTCAGGGGACATTATATACGTAGCTCACATCTTCAGGGGGTCATATATATGTAGCTCACATCTTCAGGGGTTCATATACATGTAGCTCACATCGTCAGGGGGTCATATACATGTAGCTCACATCGTCAGGGTGTTATATACATGTAGCTCACATCGTCAGGGGGTCATATACATGTAGCTCACATCGTCAGGGTGTTATATACATGTAGCTCACATCGTCAGGGGGTCATATACATGTAGCTCACATCGTCAGGGTGTTATATACATGTAGCTCACATCGTCAGGGTGTCATATAAATGTAGCTCACATCGTCAGGGTGTTATATACATGTAGCTAACATCGTCAGGGGGTCATATACATGTAGCTCACATCGTCAGGGTGTCATATACATGTAGCTCACATCGTCAGGGTGTCATATAAATGTAGCTCATATCATCAGGGGGCCATATACATGTAGCTCACATCGTCAGGGGGTCATATACATGTAGCTCACATCGTCAGGGTGTTATATACATGTAGCTCACATCGTCAGGGGGTCATATACATGTAGCTCACATCGTCAGGGTGTCATATACATGTAGCTAACATCGTCAGGGGGTCATATACATGTAGCTAACATCGTCAGGGTGTCATATACATGTAGCTAACATCGTCAGGGTGTCATATAAATATAGCTCATATCATCAGGGGGCCATATACATGTAGCTCACATCGTCAGGGGGTCATATACATGTAGCTCACATCGTCAGGGTGTTATATACATGTAGCTCACATCGTCAGGGGGTCATATACATGTAGCTCACATCGTCAGGGTGTCATATACATGTAGCTAACATCGTCAGGGTGTCATATAAATGAAGCTCATATCATCAGGGGGCCATATACATGTAGCTCACATCGTCAGGGGGTCATATACATGTAGCTCACATCGTCAGGGTGTTATATACATGTAGCTCACATCGTCAGGGGGTCATATACATGTAGCTCACATCGTCAGGGTGTCATATACATGTAGCTAACATCGTCAGGGTGCCAAATACATGTAGCTCACATCGTCAGGGGGTCATATACATGTAGCTCACATCGTCAGGGGGTCATATACATGTAGCTCACATCGTCAGGGTGTTATATACATGTAGCTCACATCGTCAGGGTGTTATATACATGTAGCTCACATCGTCAGGGGGTCATATACATGTAGCTCACATCGTCAGGGTGTTATATACATGTAGCTCACATCGTCAGTGGGTCATATTTATATAGCTCACATCGTCAGGGTGTCATATACATGTAGCTCACATCGTCAGGGTGTCATATACATGTAGCTCACATAGTCAGGGTGTCAAATACATGTAGCTCACATCGTCAGGGGGTCATATACATGTAGCTCACATCGTCAGGGGGTCATATACATGTAGCTCACGTCGTCAGGGTGTCATATATATGTAGCTCACATCGTCAGGGGTCATATACATGTAGCTCACATCGTCAGAGCGTCATATACATGTAGCTCACATCGTCAGGGTGTCATATACATGTAGCTCACATCGTCAGGGGGTCATATACATGTAGCTCAGATCGTCAGTGGGTCATATTTATGTAGCTCACATCGTCAGGGTGTCAAATACATGTAGCTCACATCGTCAGGGGGTCATATACATGTAGCTCACATCGTCAGGGGGTCATATACATGTAGCTCACATAGTCAGGGTGTCAAATACATGTAGCTCACATCGTCAGGGGTATATAAATGTAGCTCACATCGTCAGGGTGCCATATACATGTAGCTCATATCGTCAGGGGGTCATATACATGTAGCTCACATCGTCAGGGGGTCATATACATGTAGCTCAGATCGTCAGTGGGTCATATTTATGTAGCTCACATCGTCAGGGTGTCAAATACATGTAGCTCACATCGTCAGGGGGTCATATACATGTAGCTCACATCGTCAGGGGGTCATATACATGTAGCTCACATAGTCAGGGTGTCAAATACATGTAGCTCACATCGTCAGGGGTATATAAATGTAGCTCACATCGTCAGGGTGCCATATACATGTAGCTCATATCGTCAGGGGGTCATATACATGTAGCTCATATCGTCAGGGTGTCATATACATGTAGCTCACATCGTCAGGGGGTCATATACATGTAGCTCACATCGTCAGGGTGTCATATAAATGTAGCTCACATCGTCAGGGTGTCATATACATGTAGCTCACATCGTCAGGGTGTCATATACATGTAGCTCACATCGTCAGGGGGTCATATACATGTAGCTCACATCGTCAGGGGGTTATATACATGTAGCTCACATCGTCAGGGTGTCATATACATGTAGCTCATATCGTCAGGGTGTCATATACATGTAGCTCACATCGTCAGGGGGTCATATACATGTAGCTCACATCGTCAGAGCGTCATATACATGTAGCTCACATCGTCAGGGTGTCATATACATGTAGCTCACATCGTCAGGGGGTCATATACATGTAGTTCAGATCGGACAATAATACATCGTAAAGAAAATATCACAATATACTTAGGAACACGGGTATATAAGAGATAAAGGTTTCTGTACTCGTCACTAAGCTTAATGAGTTTAATTCAACATGTTATGATTTAATGTTCAAAATTTTAAGATTGGTAGATACAAACTTTTTGGAAGATATAAGTAGTTTCGATCGTTTAATGTAACTTTAAAGGCTTGTTCTGGTTTAGAAACTAACCGTAGAGTACTATTGTTTTACTTCTAAGTATACGTAACTATCCAACATATCCAATAACACAATAGTGGAAGGATAATTTTAATTCCTAACCGTACTTTACTGTATATATCATTCATTCTCAGTGCAATTTATTCCTGATTTTGTTCAAGATTGGCCGCTGCTTGTGTAATATCTTCAGTAGTTTTGTCAGAATTTAAAAGATTACAGCTGTAGGAATGATTATTTGTTTCTTTTTCCTCATCACGTAGTCTAGTTTTTATTGTTTCGAAAATTTTCGTCAAGATATAAATATAAAATGTTCAATAAATTTATTCGGTATTGTATTATCATCTTTTGATTTGACTTTATTTAAAAACTTCTAAAAAGTCTTCAGGGGATATATTTTAATTTTGATGAAATATGTCTTGTAAGGTTTCTTTGTGTTGACGAATATATACTGAAGGCCAACGGAAACTTTACCATTGTTTTAAATCCCTCTAGTTTTAAACCACAAAGATCGATGCATGAAGGAAATGTATTGAAAAGATCAAATCGGACGAGGAATGTCATCTGCGTAACGCTGAGCTGTCAAATGTTAACGGCGGCCAGCAGTGTTCTCTCCTGCCCACAAATTCCTCCGTCTTAGGACTAACAATGTTTACAGGTCTTTACAGTGTTGACACTACCCATAGTGTACAGTACATTCACCCTGTGCACTCAAAAGAACCCACTCGTCCGATGGCAGATGACCAGATGTTGGGAACATGAATACGTACATACCCCCGAAACACAAGGGTCAAAACTTGTGGTGTCATCCTGGGCAAGTGATTTAGTTCAAATGTGCCTTTGGGAATTGGTACCCGATATGTAAATTGGATGTAAAAACCCTCAAGCGGCCGTAGGCAGTTTGGGTTGTATTCTCCCTTGGGAGTTGAGAATGATATCTGGAATACAAACGGATCAGCTGGTCGAGGAACAAAAAAAATATAAGAACCGGCTTTCAGCAGCGAAGACGACCATCTGCCAGTTACGTCGCTGCCAACGACATCTCGCTGTCCGGCCCATCTCAAACTATGACGATGATGCTGCGCTGTCAATAATTGTTCTCAGCTGGGTCTGTAAGTCCTTACTCCTCGAGACCTGAGTCGACTGGCCACTGTCTGTCGATTTACCCTAAGACTTTCGTCGCTGATGACATCATTATCAGGAATCGATTCCGAAGATGCAAAGTACGCAAGTACCGGTCTTCATTGGGCGTAGTTACCCTAGGGTCTGCTTGTTCTTGGTCTGTCTGATGTCTGCCCGGTCTGTCTGTAACGTTTCATCAGGTTAGTTACAGCAACACGGGATCAACGAAAAGTTCTAGCAATGTGGGCATTGGTGGCTCCCATCTGTATCATACTCAGGTCCGCTCGCATTGTTCGGTTGTCAGTCGTGGCATCCCCTTGCGTTTTTCTTATCGGTGTGAGTGTCTCACATGCTGTCCGTATTATTTATATACCCTTGCACGTGTAGTTTCGGCTGCCCAAGTAGCACGTGTTTTTCACTTTATGGCATTTTTTACGAAAAATACATGCCGTGGACGTGTATCAAATTCTGCACGGAGAAATGTTGTTTTTGGACGCAGTGTGAGTGTTTTTGAATTTTTGCAACTTTATTTTTAAAGCGTCATTTTTGGTCGTCAGTATCCTTATTATATACATACATCTTTTTATAAGCTTAGTTTCGTCCCGTGATAAGTGTACATTTGATGATGATTTGAATTATTAATTATTCCTGTGAGAATCTCGCGTTTGGTATTTACAGATCAGCCATAAAAGATTTAGGTTCTAATTCAGATGTTACATGACTTTTATTCATTTCAAATACCTTGATGACGTAATTGTCATACATTTTATAATCAGGGGCGTTAATTGTTCTGGCATGAAAATCTCCCATGTGTGTAACGAAGTCACGCTTAGTAAACATTAATTTTCTGATACAGACTTTTCAAATTCATAAAATGTAACCGCAGAGACATATTTAGATCATTCAGTGAGAATTGTATAAACCATTCCTGAATAAATGTCTTTATCTAAATTAAAAGGGGTTTTGCATAGTTTAATCCACAATACAGTGTCACAAGATTCTTGTGTAAGTTCTTCACATTTTATATAGTAAGTGCTTCCTTACGCTCTCGGGGCCTGGACGTCAGCTGGCATTGCATACCACTCATATCAGTGCCGCTCTGTGATGACGTCACGGTTTCAAGAACATTGTATAAAAAAGTGTTACATTGTTCATATTTCTGCTCCGCTAATAGACTAACTGTTCAAATTGACTCCAGGAAACCCACATTTTCTAACTTTTCACAGTTAACTTTAACTTTAAGTGTTTCTCATTATAATAATTCAAGAAGCATTAGCTCCAAGATATGTTGTTAAATTTTAAACTATTGAAATCAGAAGAACGTCTTAATACTACAACGAATAACAGACCCGTGAAGATCCCGGGATAGAATAGGTCTTCTAAACCCATGCTTGCCGTAAAAGCGACTATGCTTGTCGTTAAAGGCGACTAACGGGATCGGGTGGTCAGGCTCGCTGACTTGGTTGATACATGTCATCGATCCCAATTGCGTGGATCGATGCTCATGCTGTCAATCACTGGATTGTCTGGTCAAGACTCGATTATTTACATACCGCAACTATATAGCTGGAATATTGCTGAGTGCGGCGTTAAACAAAACCAACCAACCAACAACGAATAACAGGATTATGTTTAGTATTCTATATCCATGATAGCAAACAATCAAATGGTATATACTGAAAATGAAGAGATAAATATACACAAAACTCACCTTTTGTCGAAATCACCAAAAACGTAATGATGTTAAAAAACGTCAACATGGTTTGCCTTTGAGCACATCAAAGTGTTGTAAAGTATTTTTGGTTGTAGAGGACAAACAATTTATCACGTTAGACGAGGTCCGGGGATGAGGCGCTCAACAATGTAGCAACTGACTATTGTTTGGTCATACGATGCAGCTGGTATAGTGTTTCTGTCATTCGATCACACTTGTCTACCCACGACCCTGGACACCCTACAATCACTGCATATCCGCCTCAATGGGTGGTGTACTCACAGTCATCAAACCCTGACTGGGCAGTCGTTCCCCACTCTTCCTCGTCACGCGGTGCCCCATAAAACACTTGACTTTCAGCTAATTATCGGAGTTATGGCTCTATTTTAGTTTGTGAATATAATGAATCAAAAGCATAATTATGTCCTCAATAGTGAGGTTATAGGTAAAGCGTATGGTGTGTAGTTAAAGCTTGTAGTGTAGAGGTAAAGTTTTTAGCGTAGAGGTAAATGTTATAGGGAAGATAAAAGATTATAGTGTAGAGGTAAAGCTTGTAGTGTAGAGGTAAAGATTATAGTGTAGAGGTAAAGCTTGTAGTGTAGAGGTAAAGCTTGTAGTGTAGAGGTAAAGCTTAAAGTGTAGAGGTAAAGCTTAAAGTGTAGAGGTAAAGATTATAGTGTAGAGGTAAAGCTTGTAGTGTAGAGGTAAAGATTATAGTGTAGAGGTTAAGATTATAGTGTAGAGGTAAGGCTTGTAATGTAGATGTAAAGTTTATAGTTTTGAGGTTAAGCCTTTGGTGTTGGGGTAAAGCTTATAGTGTAGAGGTAAAGCTTGTAGTGTAGAGGTAAAGATTATAGTGTAGAGGTAAGCTTATAGTGTAGAGGTAAAGATTATAGTGTAGAGGTAAGCTTATAGTGTAGAGGTAAAGATTATAGTGTAGAGTTAAGGCTTGTAGTGTAGAGGTAAGCTTATAGTGTAGAGGTAAAGATTAAAGTGTAGAGGTTAAGATTATAGTGTAGAGGTAAGGCTTGTAATGTAGATGTAAAGTTGATAGTTTTGAGGTTAAGCCTTTGGTGTTGGGGTAAAGCTTATAGTGTAGAGGTAAAGCTTGTAGTGTAGAGGTAAAGATTATAGTGTAGAGGTAAGCTTATAGTGTAGAGGTAAAGATTATAGTGTAGAGGTAAAGATTATAGTGTAGAGGTAAAGATTATAGTGTAGAGGTAAAGCTTGTAGTGTAGAGGTAAAGATTATAGTGTAGAGGTTAAGATTATAGTGTAGAGGTAAGGCTTGTAATGTAGATGTAAGGTTTATAGTTTTGAGGTTAAGCCTTTGGTGTTGGGGTAAAGCTTATAGTGTAGAGGTAAAGCTTGTAGTGTAGAGGTAAAGATTATAGTGTAGAGGTAAGCTTATAGTGTAGAGGTAAAGGTTATAGTGTAGAGGTAAGCTTATAGTGTAGAGGTAAAGATTATAGTGTAGAGTTAAGGCTTGTAGTGTAGAGGTATAGTTTGTAGTGTAGAGGTAAAGCGTGTAGTGTAGAGGTAAAGGTTATAGTGTAGAGGTAAAGATTATAGTGTAGAGTTAAGGCTTGTAGTGTAGATGTTAAGCTTATAGTGTAGATGTAAAGTTTATAGTTTGGAGGTAAAACGTTTGGTGTTCGGGTAAATATTTTAGTGTAGAGGTAATGATTATAGTGTAGCGGTAAAGCTTGTAGTATAGATGTTAAGCTTATAGTGTAGATACAAAGCTAATAGTGAAGATGTTAAGCTTATAGTGTACATGTAAAGCTTTAAGAGCAGATTCAAGTTTATAGTGAAAATGTAAAGCTTATAGTGAAGATGTAAAGCTTATAGTGTAGATTAGAGCCTTTAGTGCAGATATAATGCTTATAGTGAAGATTTAAAGCTTATACTGCAGATTTTAAGCTTATAGTGTAGAGGTAAAGCTTACAGTGTAAAGGTAAAGCTTGTAGTGTAGATGTTAAGCTTATAGTGCAGATGTTAAGCTTATAGTGTAAATATAAAGCTTGTAGTGTAGAGGTAAAGCTTATAGTGCAGATGTTAAGCTGATAGTGTAGATGTAAAGCTTGTAGTGTAAATATAAAGCTTGTAGTGCAGATGTTAAGCTTAAAGTGTAGAGGTAAAGCTTATAGTGTAGAGGTAAGCTTGTAGTGTAGAGGTAAAGATTATAGTGTAGAGGTAAAGATTATAGTGTAGAGGTAAGGCTTGTAGTGTAGAGGCAAAGCTTAAAGTGTAGAGGTAAAGATTATAGTGTAGAGGTAAAGATTATAGTGTAGAGGTAAAGCTTGTAGTGTAGAGGTAAAGATTATAGTGTAGAGGTAAAGATTATAGTGTAGAGGTAAAGCTTGTAGTGTAGAGGTAAAGATTATAGTGTAGAGGTTAAGATTATAGTGTAGAGGTAAGGCTTGTAATGTAGATGTAAAGTTTATAGTTTGGAGGTGAAGCGTTTGGTGTTGGGGTAAAGCTTATAGTGTAGAGGTAAAGCTTGTAGTGTAGAGGTAAAGCTTAAAGTGTAGAGGTAAAGATTATAGTGTAGAGGTAAAGATTATAGTGTAGAGGTAAAGCTTGTAGTGTAGAGGTAAAGATTATAGTGTAGAGGTAAAGATTATAGTGTAGAGGTAAAGCTTGTAGTGTAGAGGTAAAGATTATAGTGTAGAGGTTAAGATTATAGTGTAGAGGTAAGGCTTGTAATGTAGATGTAAAGTTTATAGTTTTGAGGTTAAGCCTTTGGTGTTGGGGTAAAGCTTATAGTGTAGAGGTAAAGCTTGTAGTGTAGAGGTAAAGATTATAGTGTAGAGGTAAGCTTATAGTGTAGAGGTAAAGATTATAGTGTAGAGGTAAGCTTATAGTGTAGAGGTAAAGATTATAGTGTAGAGTTAAGGCTTGTAGTGTAGAGGTAAGCTTATAGTGTAGAGGTAAAGATTAAAGTCAGGAACAACACTGACAGCTGAGTGACGGTAGTCATTGCCCGGTACCAGCACACTACCGAGAAGATCTCCTTACTGTCAGGAACAACACAGACAGCTGAGTGACGGTTGTCATTCCCCGGTACCAGCACACACCCGAGAAGATCTCCCTACTGTCAGGAACAACACAGACAGCTGAGTGACGGTAGTCATTTCCCGGTACCAGCACAATACCGAGAAGATCTCTTTATTGTCAGGAACAACACTGACAGCTGAGTGACGGTAGTCATTGCCGGTACCAGCACACTACCGAGAAGATATCCTTACTGTCAGGGACAACACTGACAGCTGAGTGACGGTAGTCATTCCCCGGTACGAGCACACTACCGAGAAGATCTCCTTACTGTCAGGGACAACACTGACAGCTGAGTGACGGTAGTCATTGCCCGGTACCAGCACACTACCGAGAAGATCTCCTTACTGTCAGGAACAACACAGGCGCCTTGACCAACAACTTCGGACGGAAAGTCTGATGGTGCTTTGTAACAACTAATAGTTCAAATACCATCATTTGATGAAGAAGGTGTCTTCCGAACATCCTCTCTAAGTAAGTCACAGTGACAACGCGACGTTAACCATTTTCATCAAAACCTGGACTTCAAAATGTCCGACACGAAAAACGTAACGGTATTTCCGAATCAGTTCATGAAGCTGCGGTGATGACAACTGTTAGCCAATCATTGAAAGGTGATCGTGATGATGTGTCAAATTCATAGACTGATATGGACTGTCGTTGCAGGTCTAGACACGGGTTGACCTCCTCGGTGGTCTAGTGGTAGAGCGTCCACCCGGAGAGAGGAAGGTTCGGGGTTCTCCAAAAGGCGCTAAAATATGGCACTTGTTGTTACCCTGCATGACGCTCGGCATTACAGTGCTAAAACAAGGACTGGTCGGCTCGGAGTCAGTATTCCGTGTCTGAGTCGGGTATTCATTAATAAAACATCGTATCTCAGTGGGCTAGCACTATAAAATCGACTTTTGTCTCGACTAATACAAGCAGCCATACGCGCGCTTGCACGTCGCTATATAAGTGCAATAATCTTGGACGCGACGTTAAACCCCGTTTCACCTCAACGGATCGAGTCAACACTACTAAAGTTTGGATGTGCATTTCGTCGTTTTGTTCACTACGATGGGTCGTAGCGATGATATTCTTGAATGATCATGCAGTAAAACTCCTTGATTTTTCTCAATATATGCTAAATGCTAAGTTCAGGATTAAAGGGTCTGAATGTTCAAAAACAACGCTTGTGTATGTGTTCGTGTTTGGGAATTCCCAGGGTTTCCCAAAGGGATGTGGAAGTTGTCAGTCAGTGTTTACGTCATTTCAAGAATACATTCTCGTGAAAAGGTACTGACGACAAATTGTCGTTCTATGTGACTAGCCTCTCGTCCAATCGAAAACCGAATACCATTTAAACATTAAATACGTATTGCATTATGATTACGCGCAAATATGAGCCCTAATACATAAAGACTATCACAAGTAAGCTTTGACACATAATGACCAGTAGAAGTAAGCCCTGACACACACTGACCGGTACAAGTAAGCCCTGACACAGCAAGACTGGTAGAAGTAAGCCCTGACACAGCATGACCGTTACAAGTAAGCCCTGAGACAACATGACCGGTACAAGTAAGCCCTGACACAGCATGACCGGCAGATGTAAGCCCTAACACATACTGACCGGTAGAAGTAAGCCCTGACACAGCAAGACTGGTAGAAGTAAGCCCTGACACGGAATGACTGGTACAAGTAAGCCCTGACACAGCATGACCGTTACAAGTAAGCCCTGAGACAACATGACCGGTACAAGTAAGCCCTGACACAGCATGACCGGTAGAAGTACGCCCTGACACAACATGACCGGTAGAAGTAGGCCCTGACACAACATGACCGGTACAAGTAAGCCCTGACACAACATGACCGGTAGAAGTACGCCCTGACACAGCATGACCGGTACAAGTGAGCCCTGACACAACATGACCGGTACAAGTAAGCCCTGACACAAACTGACCGGTAGAAGTAAGCCCTGACACAACATGACCGGTAGAAGTAAGCCCTGACACAGCATGACCGGTACAAGTAAGCCCTGACACAAACTGACCGGTAGAAGTAAGCCCTGACACAACATGACCGGTAGAAGTAAGCCCTGACACAGCATGACCGGTACAAGTGAGCCCTGACACAACATGACCGGTACAAGTAAGCCCTGACACAGCATGACCGGTAGAAGTAAGCCCTGACACAGCATGACCGGTACAAGTGAGCCCTGACACAACATGACCGGTAGAAGTAAGCCCTGACACAGCAGGACTGGTAGGAGTAAGCCCTGACACAGCATGACTGGTATAAGTAAGCCCTGACACAGCATGACCGGTACAAGTAAGCCCTGACACACCATGGCCGGTAAAAGCAAACCCTGACACAGCATGACTGGTACAAGTAAGCCCTGACACAGCAGGACTGGTACAAGTAAGCCCTGACACAGCAGGACTGGTAGAAGTAAGCCCTGACACAGCATGACTGGTATAAGTAAGCCCTAATACAACATGACCGGTACAAGTAAGCCCTGACACAAACTGACCGGTACAAGTAAGCCCTGACACAAACTGACCGGTACAAGTAAGCCCTGACACAAACTGACCGGTAGAAGTAAGCCCTAATACAACATGACCGGTACAAGTAAGCCCTGACACTGCATGACCGGTACAAGTAAGCCCTGACACAAACTGACCGGTAGAAGTAAGCCCTGACACAAACTGACCGGTAGAAGTAAGCCCTGACACAAACTGACCGGAACAAGTAAGCCCTGACACGGAATGACTGGTACAAGTAAGCCCTGACACACCATGGCCGGTAAAAGCAAGCCCTGACACAACATGACTGGTACAAGTAAGCCCTAATACAACATAACCGGTACAAGTAAGCCCTGACACTGCATGACCGGTACAAGTAAGCCCTGACACAACATGACCGGTAGAAGTAAGCCCTGATATACACTGAGTGGTACAAGTAAGCCCTGACACAAACTGACCGGTAGAAGTACGCCCTGATACAACATGACCCGTAGAGGTATGCCCTGACACATACTGATCGGCAGAAGTAAGCCCTGACACATACTGACCGGTAGTAATAAGCCCTGACACAACATGACCGGTACAAGTAAGCCCTGTCACACACTGACCGGTACAAGTAAGCCCTGACACATACTGAGTGGTAGAAGTAAGCCCTGACACATACTGACCGGTAGTAATAAGCCCTGACACAACATGACTGGTACAAGTAAGCCCTGTCACACACTGACCGGTACAAGTAAGCCCTGACACAGCATGACTGGTAGAAGTAAGCCCTGACACATACTGATCGGTAGAAGTAGGCCCTGACACATACTGACCGGTAGTAATAAGCCCTGACTCAACATGATCGGTAAAAGCAAGCCCTGACACACACTAACCGGTACAAGTAAGCCCTGACACAAATTGACCGGTAGAAGTAAGCCCTGACACACCATGGCCGGTAAAAGCAAGCCCTGACACAACATGACCGGTAGAAGTAAGCCCTGACACAAACTGACCGGTAGAAGTAAGCCCTGACACAACATGACCGGCACAAGTAAGCCCTGACACAACATGACCGGTAGAAGTAAGCCCTGACACAAACTGACCGGAACAAGTAAGCCCTGACACAACATGACCGGTAGAAGTACGCCCTGACACAACATGACTGGTACAAGTAAGCCCTAATACAACATGACCGGTACAAGTAAACCCTGACACAAACTGACCGGTAGAAGTACGCCCTGACACAACATGACCGGTAGAAGTAGGCCCTGATAAAACATGACCGGTACAAGTACGCCCTGACACAAACTGACCGTTAGAAGTACTCCCTGACACATACTGACCGGCGGAAGAAAGCCCTGACACAGCATGACTGGTAGAAGTAAGCCCTGACACACACTAACCAGTTCAAGTAAGCCCTGGCAGAGCATGACTGGTAGAAGTTAGACCTGACACATACAAACTTGCTGAAGTAAGCCCTGACACAGCATGACTGGTAGAAGTAAGCCCTGACACATACTGACCGGTAGAAGTAAGCCCGGACACAACATGACTAGTAGAAGTACGCCTTGACACAACATGACCGGTACAAGTAAGCCCTGACACAACATCACTGGTAGAAGTATGCCCTGACACAGCATGACCGGTAGAAGTACGCCCTGACACAACATGACCGGTAGAAGTAAGCCCGGACACAACATGACCGGTAGAAGTAAGCCCTGACACACTAACCGGTACAAGTAAGCACTGACACAACATGACCGTTTCAAGTAAGCCCTGGCACATACTGACCGGTAGAAGTAAGCCCTGACACAACATGACTAGTAGAAGTACGCCTTGACACAACATGACCGGTAGAAGAACGCCCTGACACAACATGACTGGTAGAAGTATGCCCTGACACAGCATGACCGGTAGAAGTACGCCCCGACACAACATGACCGGTAGAAGTACGCCCTGACACAACATGACCGGTAGAAGTACGCCCTCACACAGCATGACCGGTACAAGTAAGCCCTGACACACCATGAATGGTATAAGTAAGCCCTGACACAACATGACCGGCAGATGTAAGCCCTGACACAGCATGACCGGTAGACATACGCCCTGACACAACATGACCGGTAGAAGTAAGCCCTGACACAACATGACCGGTAGAAGTACGCCCTGACACAACATGACCGGTAGAAGTACGCCCTGACACAGCATGACCGGTACAAGTAAGCCCTGACACAGCATGACCGGCAGATGTAAGCCCTGACACAGCATGACCGGTAGACATACGCCCTGACACAACATGACCGGTAGAAGTACGCCCTGACACAACATGACTGGTATAAGTAAGCCCTGACACAGCACGACCGGCAGATGTAAGCCCTGACACAGCATGACCGGTAGACTTACGCCCTGACACAGCATGACCGGCAGATGTAAGCCCTGACACAGCATGACCGGTACAAGTAAGCCCTGACACAACATGACCGGTAGAAGTACGCCCTGACACAACATGACCGGTAGAAATACGCCCTGACACAGCATGACCGGTAGGAGTAAGCCCTGACACAACATGACCGGTAGAAGTACGCCCTGACACAACATGACCGGTAGAAGTATGCCCTGACACAATATGACCGCCAGAAGTACGCCCTGACACAACATGACTGGTATAAGTAAGCCCTGACACAGCCTGACCGGCAGATGTAAGCTATGACAGCATGACCGGTAGAAGTATGCCCTGACACAACATGACCGGTAGAAGTATGCCCTGACACAGCATGACCGATAGAAGTAAGCCCTGACACAGCATGACCGGCAGATGTAAGCCCTGACACAGCATGACCGTTAGACGTACGCCCTGACACAACATGACCGGTAGAAGAGCGCCCTGACACAACATGACGGGTAGTAATAAGCCCTGACACAGCACGACCGGCAGATGTAAGCCCTGACACAGCATGACCGGCAGATGTAAGCCCTGACACAGCATGACCGGTACAGGTAAGCCCTGACACAACATGACCGGTAGAAGTACGCCCTGACACAACATGACCGGTAGAAGTACGCCCTGACACAACATGACCGGTAGAAGTAGGCCCTGACACAACATGACCGGTACAAGTAAGCCCTGACACAACATGACCGGTAGAAGTACGCCCTGACACAACATGACCGGTAGAAGTACGCCCTGACACAACATGACCGGTACAAGTAAGCCCTGACACAACATGACCGGCAGATGTAAGCCCTGACACAGCATGACCGGTAGAAGTATGCCCTGACACAGCATGACAAGTAGAAGTATGGCCTGACACAACATGACCGGTAGAAGTACGCCCTGACACACACTTACCGGTAGAAGTACGCCCTGACACAACATGACTGGTAGAAGTATGCCCTAACACAACATGACCGGTAGAAGTACGCCCTGAAACATACTGACCGGTAGAAGTACGCCCTGAAACAACATGACCGGTAGAAGTAAGCTCTGAGAAAAGGAAATATTAAGAATGTGTGTCAGCCTGGACAAATGTTAATAGATTTATACATTTCCTCTTGACCAGTTACACGAACGTAATCAATAGTGCATGCACATGTGACAGTCACGCCATGACGAGCTGTTCCACTTGCCGGTGTGGTGTATAAGGATGTCCTGGTGTTAATATGACATTCAGGGAGATGTTGAATGGTAATGTCAATATGCGAAGCGTTTATAAATGTTTCCTCTGTGTAACAGGAAGAAAGTATAAACATTTAACATTCAGTGTGATAACGTTGTGCTGGTGTAAGTCATCAGGGTGAGTGAGTCACTTGAGTTCACCATCGTTCTGAACAGTATTTCCATTTTATGCAGTCGTTTCAGCGGTTTTAGAGATTTACCACATTGGGTGAAACCCAGGGTTATGTTATCATAATCAGGGCAAATCTGGCGTTGGAAGCCTTGATCATACCGGCTCCTGGAAGACTGTAGGACTCAACTCTGCACAGAAAAAAACGGTGACGTTGACGCCAAATCCATGTCCTCGGCTATACATGGGTCAAAAGTAAGCCCTGACACAAAATGACAGGTGCAAGTAAGTACTGATACATTATGACAGGTAAAGCAGGCCGTGACACATAATGGCAGGTAAAGTAGAACTTGACACCTAGTGAGAGGTAAAGTAGACCTTGACACATAATGACAGGTAAAGTAGACCTTGACACATACTTAAAGGTAAAGTAGACCTTGATACATAATGACAGGTAAAGAAGACCTTGACACATAGTGACAGGTAAAGCAGACCTTGACACATACTGAAAGGTAAAGCAGACCTTGACACATAATGACAGATAAAGCAGACCTTGACACATAATGATAGGTAAAGTAGACCCTGACACATAATGACAGGAAAAGTAGACCTTGACACATAATGACAGGTAAAGCAGACCTTGACACATAAGGAGAGGAAAAGTGGACCTTGACACATAATGACAGGTAAAGTAAAATTTGATATAATGACAAGGTAAAGTAGACGTTGACATAATGACAGGTAAAGTAGACGTTCACATAATGACAGGTAAAGTAGACCATGACACACAGCTAAAGTAAACCTTGACATAATGACAGGTAAAGTAGACCATGACACACAGCTAAAGTAAACCTTGACATAATGACTGGTAAAGTAAAGCTTGACATAATGACAAGGTAAAGCAGACCTTGACATATAATAGCAGGTAAAGTAAAGCTTGATATAATGACAGGTAAAGTAAACCTTGACATAATGACAGGTAAAGTAAACCTTGACATAATGACAGGTAAAGTAGACTTTGACACATACTGACAGGTAAAGTAGACCTTGACACATAATGACAGCTTAAGTAAACCTTGACATAATGACAGGTAAAGTAGACCTTGACATAATATGAGGTAAAGTAAACATTGACATAAAGACAGGTAAAGTAAACCTTGACATAATGACAGGTAAAGTAAACCTTGACATAATGACAGGTAAAGTAGACCTTGACACACAAGATCAGGTGAAGTAGAACTTGACACATAATGACAGGTAAAGTAAACCTTGACACATAATGACAGGTGAAGTAGACCTTGACACATACTGACAGGTAAAGTAGACCTTGCCACATTATGACAGGAAAAGTAGACCTTGACACATAATGACAGGTAAAGTAAACCTTGACACATAATGACAAGGTAAAGTAGACCTTGACAGAATGACAGGTAAAGTAGACCTGGACACATAAGGACAGGTGAAGTAGACGTTGACACATAATGACAGGTAAAGTAGACCTCGACACATAATGAGAGGTAAAGTAAACCTTGACACATAATGACAGGTAAAGTAGACCTTGACACATAATGGCAGCTAAAGTTAACCGTGATATAATGAGGGGTAAAGTAGACCTTGACACATAATGACAGCTAACGTAAACCTTGACATAATGACAGGTAAAGTAAACCTTGACACATAATGACACGGAAAGTAGACCTTGACACATAATGACAGGTAAAGTAGACCTTGACGTATAATGAGAGGTAAAGTAGACCTTGACGTATAATAACAGGTAAAGCAAACCTTGACACATAATGACAGGTAAAGTAGACCTTGACACCTAGTGAGAGGTAAAGTTGACCTTGACGTATAATTACAGGTAAAGTAGACCTTGACGTATAATGACAGGTAAAGCAGACCTTGACACATAGTGAAAGGTAAAGTAGACCTTGACACATTATGACAGGAAAAGTAGACATTGACACATAATGACAGGTAAAGTAGACCTTGACACCTAGTGAGAGGTAAAATAGACCTTGACGTATAATAACCAGTAAAGCAGACCTTGACACATAATTACAGGTAAAGTAGACCTTGACACATAATGACAGGGAAAGTAGACCTTGACACATAATGACAAGGTAAAGTAGACCTTGACAGAATGACAGGTAAAGTAGACCTGGACACATAAGGACAGGTGAAGTAGACCTTGACACATAATGACAGGTAAAGTAGACCTCGACACATAATGACAGGTAAAGTAAACCTTGACACATAATGACAGGTGAAGTAGACCTTGACACATACTGACAGGTAAAGTAGACCTTGCCACATTATGACAGGAAAAGTAGACCTTGACACATAATGACAGGTAAAGTAAACCTTGACACATAATGACAAGGTAAAGTAGACCTTGACAGAATGACAGGTAAAGTAGACCTGGACACATAAGGACAGGTGAAGTAGACCTTGACACATAATCACAGGTAAAGTAGACCTCGACACATAATGAGAGGTAAAGTAAACCTTGACACATAATGACAGGTAAAGTAGACCTTGACACATAATGGCAGCTAAAGTTAACCGTGATATAATGAGGGGTAAAGTAGACCTTGACACATAATGACAGCTAACGTAAACCTTGACATAATGACAGGTAAAGTAAACCTTGACACATAATGACACGGAAAGTAGACCTTGACACATAATGACAGGTAAAGTAGACCTTGACGTATAATGAGAGGTAAAGTAGACCTTGACGTATAATAACAGGTAAAGCAAACCTTGACACATAATGACAGGTAAAGTAGACCTTGACACCTAGTGAGAGGTAAAGTTGACCTTGACGTATAATTACAGGTAAAGTAGACCTTGACGTATAATGACAGGTAAAGCAGGCCTTGACACATAGTGAAAGGTAAAGTAGACCTTGACACATTATGACAGGAAAAGTAGACATTGACACATAATGACAGGTAAAGTAGACCTTGACACCTAGTGAGAGGTAAAATAGACCTTGACGTATAATAACCAGTAAAGCAGACCTTGACACATAATTACAGGTAAAGTAGACCTTGACACATAATGACAGGGAAAGTAGACCTTGACACATAATGACAGGTTAAGTAAGCCTGACACATAATGACAGGTAAAGTAGACTTTGACATAATGACAGGTAAAGTAGACCTGGACACATTAGGACAGATGAAGAAGAACTTGACATATAATGACAGGTAAAGTAGACCTTGACACATACTGACTGGTAAAGTATACCTTGACACATACAAACAAGTAAAGTATACCTTGACACATAATGACAGGTAAAGTAGACCTGGACACATTAGGACAGATGAAGAAGAACTTGACATATAATGACAGGTAAAGTAGACCTTGACACATACTGACTGGTAAAGTATACCTTGACACATACTAACAAGTAAAGTATACCTTGACACATAATGACAGGTAAAGTAGACCTTGACACATAATGACAGGTAAAGTAGACCTTGACACCTAGTGAGAGGTAACGTGGACCTTGACACATAATGACAGGGAAAGTCAACCTTGATATAATGACAGTTAAAGTAGACCTTGCCATAATGACAGGTAAAGTAGACCTTGACACATAATGACAGGTAAAGTAGACCTTGACACATAATGACGAGTAAAGTAGACCTTGACACATAATGGCAGTTAAAGTAAACTGTGATATAATGAGAGGTAAAGTAGACCTTGACACTTAATGACAGGTAAAGTAGACCTTGACACATAATGACAAGTAAAGTGTACCTTGACACATAATGACAGGTAAAGGAAACCCTGACATATAATGACCGGTAAAGTAGACCTTGACACATAATGACATGTAAAGTCAACCTTGATATAATGACAGGTAAAGTAAACCTTGCCATAATGACAGGTAAAGTAGACCTTGACACATAATGACAGGTAAAGTAGACATTGACACATAATGGCAGTTAAAGTAAACCTTGACATAATTACAGGTAAAGTCAACCTTGACACATAATGACAGGGAAAGTAGACATTGACACATAATGACAGGTAAAATGGTCCTTGACACATAATGACAGATAAAGTATACCTTGACACAAAATGGCAGCTAAAGTTAACCGTAATATAATGAGAGGTAAAGTAGACCTTGACACATAATGACAGCTAACGTAAACCTTGACACACAATGACAGGTAAAGCAAACCTTGACACATAATGACAGGTAAAGTAGACCTTGACACCTAGTGAGAGGTAAAGTTGACCTTGACGTATAATTACAGGTAAAGTAGACCTTGACACATAGTGAAAGGTAAAGTAGACCTTGACACATTATGACAGGTAAAGTAGACCTTGACACATAATGACAGGGAAAGTAGACATTGACACATAATGACAGGTAAAATGGTCCTTGACACATAATGACAGATAAAGTATACCTTGACACAAAATGGCAGCTAAAGTTAACCGTAATATAATGAGAGGTAAAGTAGACCTTGACACATAATGACAGCTAACGTAAACCTTGACACACAATGACAGGTAAAGCAAACCTTGACACATAATGACAGGTAAAGTAGACCTTGACACCTAGTGAGAGGTAAAGTTGACCTTGACGTATAATTACAGGTAAAGTAGACCTTGACACATAGTGAAAGGTAAAGTAGACCTTGACACATTATGACAGGTAAAGTAGACCTTGACACCTAATGACAGGTAAAGTAGACCTTGACACCTAGTGAGAGGTAAGATAGACCTTGACGTATAATAACAGGTAAAGCAGACCTTGACACATAATGACAGGTAAAGTAGACCTTGACACATTATGACAGGTAAAGTAGACCTTGACACATAATGACAGGTAAAGTAGACCTTGACACCAAGTGAGAGGTAAAATAGACCTTGATGTATAATAACAGGTAAAGCAGACCTTGACACATAATGACAGGTAAAGTAGACCTTGACACATAATGACAGGTAAAGTAGACCTTGACGTATAATGACGGGTAAAGTAGACCTTGACGTATAATAACAGGTAAAGCAGACCTTGACACATAATGACAGGTAAAGTAGACCTTGACGTATAATGACAGGGAAAGTAGACCTTGACACATAATGACAGGTGAAGTAGACCTTGACGTATAATGAAAGGTAAAGTAGACCTTGACGTATAATAACAGGTAAAGTAGACCTTGACACATAATGACAGGTAAAGTAGACCTTGACGTATAATGACAGGTAAAGTAGACCTTGACGTATAATGACAGGTAAAGTAGACCTTGACGTATAATGACAGGTAAAGTAGACCTTGACACATAATGACAGGTAATGCAGACCTTGACACATAATGACAGATAAAGTAGACCTTGACGTATAATAACAGGTAAAGCAGACCTTGACACATAATGACAGGTAAAGTAGACCTTGACGTATAATAACAGGTAAAGTAGACCTTGACGTATAATAACAGTTCAAACAGACCTTGACGTATAATAACAGGTAAAGCAGACCTTGACACATAATGACAGGTAAAGTAGACCTTGACACATAATGACAGGTAAAGTAGACCTTGACGTATAATAACAGGTAAAGTAGACCTTGACACATAATGACAGGTAAAGTAGACCTTGACGTATAATAACAGGTAAAGTAGACCTTGACGTATAATAACAGTTCAAACAGACCTTGACACATAATAACAGGTAAAGCAGACCTTGACACATAATGACAGGTAAAGTAGACCTTGACGTATAATAACAGGTAAAGTAGACCTTGACACATAATGACAGGTAAAGTAGACCTTGACGTATAATAACAGGTAAAGTAGACCTTGACGTATAATAACAGTTCAAACAGACCTTGACGTATAATAACAGGTAAAGCAGACCTTGACACATAATGACAGGTAAAGTAGACCTTGACGTATAATAACAGGTAAAGTAGACCTTGACGTATAATAACAGTTCAAACATACCTTGACGTATAATAACAGGTAAAGCAGACCTTGACACATAATGACAGGTAAAGTAGACCTTGACGTATAATAACAGGTAAAGTAGACCTTGACACATAATGACAGGTAAAGTAGACCTTGACACATAATGACAGGTAAAGTAGACCTTGACGTATAATAACAAGTAAAACAGACCTTGACGTATAATAACAGGTAAAGTCAACCTTGACACATAATGACAGGTAAAGTAGACCTTGACACATAATGACAGGTAAAGCAGACCTTGACACATAATGACAGGTAAAGCAGACCTTGACACATAATGACATGTAAAGTAGACCTTGACACATAATGACAGATAAAGTAGACCTTGACGTATAATGACAGGTAAAGCAGACATTGACACATAATGACAGGTAAAGCAGACCTTGACACATAATGACAGGTAAAGTAGACCTTGACGTATAATAACAGGTAAAGCAGACCTTGACACATAATGACAGGTAAAGCAGACCTTGACGTATAATGACAGGTAAAGTAGACCTTGACGTATAATGACAGGTAAAGTAGACCTTGACGTATAATAACAGGTAAAGCAGACCTTGACACATAATGACAGGTAAAGCAGACCTTGACGTATAATGACAGGTCAAGTAGACCTTGACGTATAATGACAGGTAAAGTAGACCTTGACGTATAATAACAGGTAAAGCAGACCTTGACACATAATGACAGGTAAAGTAGACCTTGACACATAATGACAGGTAAAGTAGACCTTGACGTATAATGACAGGTAAAGTAGACCTTGACGTATAATGACAGGTAAAGTAGACCTTGACGTATAATGACAGGTAAAGTAGACCTTGACGTATAATGACAGGTAACGTAAATAACGGTGTTATGGACTCCTCATCCTTGCTCTCGGCTGTACATTGGTCAGCATCTCCACCTGTGAATGGGTTCTAGTCCTTATGCTGGAACTTTCTGTCAAGTTCTCGCATGATGTAGTTTAGCGTTTTATTCGATTGACTGGTCCAGACGCGATTATTTTCATGCCGTTTTCATATAGCTGGACTATTGCTGAGTGCAGCGTTTAACAACAAGCAAATCGGACAACCACTTTTTATTCGATACATAACATCAAATAATTTGAATCGAATGGTCTGGTCAACTGTGTATATTTTAATATTTCACATCAATTAGGGTTTATAGGCTGCTCGGATGATCGGCCGATGCGCCCTTAAAGAAACACTTCACTTTCTACAAACCTTCAAATAATATCCTGGCTTATATTTTGATTCAATTAAAGTATATTCAGACGTGAGTGAAACAATTGGGATATATTCTCACTGCGTTTTTAATTCAGAGGTTCCGAAACATCCACGAATATTGAAATCTTCAGTGATAAACTACGCTGTATTTCAGGATGTTCACAGACCAACATGTGTCTAGGAATTGTTTTTTATGTCGATAAAGCTTGAGAAAGAAGCGTTTTTAAAATACGAAATGTGTTCTTACTTTTAACTTGGAATATACTTACTTATAACTTGGTATATGACTTGGAAAAAACTTACTTATAATTTGGAATATACTTACTTATAACTTGGAATAAACTTACTTATAACTTGGAATATTCTTACTTATAACTTGGAATAACCTTACCCATATAATAAGCTACTTAAAACTTGTAATATGCTTACTTATCACCTTCCTTTGAATATACTTAATTATAACTTGGAATATACTTACTTGTGACATTCCTTGGAATATACTTACTCATAACTTGGAATAAACTTTTTTATAACTTGGAATATACTTACTTGTGACATTCCTTGGAATATATTTACTTAAAACCTACCCTAGAATATTGTGGCATAAAACTTGTAATATACTTACTTGTAACCTTCCTTAGAATATACTTACTCATAACTTGGAATAAACATTTTTATAACCTGGAATATATATTTACTTATAACCTACCCTAGAATATAATTACTTATAACTTGTAATATACTTACTTATAACCTTCTTTAGAATGTAATTACTACTTATAATTTTGAATGTACTTACTTATAAACCTCCTTTGAATATATTTGCTCATAACCTGGAATATACTTACTTATAACATGGAACATACAAACTAATTACCAGAAATATACCTACTTATAACCTTTAGAATATACTTACTTATAACCTTCTTTGGAATATACTTACTAATAACTTGGAATGCACTCACTTATAAGTTGGAATATACTTTCTTATAAGTTGGAATATACTTACTTCTAACCCTCCTTGGAATATACTTACCAATAAGTTGGAATATATATATACTTATAGGTTGGAATAAACATTCTTATAACCCTCTTTGGAATACACTTACTTCAATCTTCCTTCAAATAAAGTAACTAATAACTTTGAATATTCTTGCTTATAACATGGAATACGCTTACTTAACCTTCCTAAGAATATACTTACATAAAACCTTCCCTGGAATAAACTTACATATAACCTTCGTTGCATTGGAATATACTTACTTAATTATAACTGGGAATAAACCATATGTCAACAACCCGGGTGAAGCGGGAGGCCACGTTCTGGGCGGCACTGCATCTCACAGTAATCTCTCTAAGCACTAATAACATTGGTTGTGTGTGCTTTTGATGGTTTATTGGTAAAAGTGGCTTAAAGCATACTCCCCAACTCTGTATTTGAATATATGAATGGTAAAAAGTTACCTCAATAACATTCACGTTATTCTACAGATTGCTATGTCATTTTTCACAAACTGTAAACATATATCTAAATCGTTCATATTACAAACCTATGAACACAGTGGAAAGTTTTTAGGGCAACAAACATTATAAATCTTTCTCGCTATCAGTACCTTTATGTACACATTCTATATTCACCGCTAATGCATTTTCTGGTACATTGATACATGAAATGAATATTATTTTTATCAGTAAACCCTTTCAATTAAGAGTTTTACATACATGCGTGTGAGGAAAAATATGGCATAATGTTTCAGTTTATGATACCAGCACAGACTACGCCCCGATATCAGATGTACAACACATATGCGTGTAATTCATATCTATGGTGGATAAAAGGTGGAAACGTCATAAAACCTAATAGTATTTACAAAGGCGTGGTTCGTTGAATTAAGGGAAACGCCCAGCTGGTTAAACAAGCTGTGGACAATGTTGCATAAGGAAGCTGAAGGCACGAACCACCGTCACTTTCCTCCTGCAGCCGCAACCCGATCCGACACGGATGTTGAATTGAGATGCAGACACACAGACCCATTGTTTTACTTCAAACAAACCACTGGGTGAAGTGGAACATACTTAATACATATTGTCAGCGAGTGAAGGAATTTAGATCAACGCTTCTTTGAATTGGATTTCAGTTATATCCAGGCGTTGGGAAAAATCCCAAAGTGATGATAAAACAATTTTAAAGATTTTTTGCACGTACATTACGTATTACAATATCGTAGTTCACTGCTCGTTGTCGAGGATCCTTTTATGGAAATGGAAATGTTTAACTTCCTCCCTGAATGCATAAAATCGGATTGCCGTGGTGCTTAGTTTTTGCATATGCAGGTACAAACGAAAGATGTATTTGTAAAGTCCGAGTAATGTCCATTGTAACCAGGTCACACATAGTCTGCACTAATTATTCCAGGTGTCGTCCCGTGTCAAGGGCAACTCACGTCAGCCTGGTCAGACGCGAGACGTAAGTCGTAAAAACACAAATTTACGAATGATGATCCTCTTTCATGGAAACACTTTAACCATGCCAGCTCTCATCCTGAAAGCATCTGGTTTTGAACTCTGTTTGTCCTGTGGACATCCTCTGTCATCAGCTGCTTCATCGTTTTTCTTCAGTTGATCGTCTCTCATTTCTTGGTCATCTCCTGAACTGTGGTCATCTCCCGTACCTTGTTTATTTTGTTCAGCTCGTCCACCTATCTCTTCTTTGTCAACTACCGTAGCTCGGCTATCTACGTCAGCTTGACCATTTTTCGTAGCCTGACCATTAGCCACAGCTTGCTCGTCTATCTTTGTAAGATCATCTTTCTTTTCATCTTTCTTGGCTTGTATATCAACTTTTGTTTGGCTATCTCTCGCCCCATGGCCCTCTGCTTTGACTTGACCGTCTCTCGCACCTGGACGTCCTGTATTGGCGTGACCATTGGTCTTAGTGTGATCCTTTAGCGTTTCCTGGCCATCTGTCTTGGGCTGATCCTTTAGCGTTTCCTGGCCATCTGTCTTGGGCTGATCCTTTAGCGTCTCCTGGCCATCTGTCTTAGTGTGATCCTTTAGCGTCTCCTGGCCATCTGTCTTAGTGTGATCCTTTAGCGTCTCCTGGCCATCTGTCTTGGGCTGATCCTTTAGCGTTTCCTGGCCATCTGTCTTGGGCTGATCATTTATCGGAGCCTGACTACCAGCCTGACTATCTCTGGTCACAGAGTGTGAAGAAGTTTTAAGTCCCGTGTTCTCGCTGTCTCGAGTCTCAGTCCTGCTTCCCGCGTGAGTTGACTTCTCCGGTTGGGATTGATCTACTTTCAGTTTGGCAGATTCCTCAACCTCTGTGGCGACGAAGAAAGCAAGGTCTATTTCCCAGCAGTTAGTTCCCGACACACCATTCTTGACGCCAGTCAGTGTCACGATAGACGCCGAGCGTTCAGTGCGACCGATAGTGGAATTTTCATATATGAAGCTTTCTTCGAGGCTTGGCTTGGACTTGGCTCTTCTCCTCCTAATGAAACCGCAAGAAAGATTATGTAAATAATATGAATCTCTCCAAGTCAAGTAACTATTGTGTGACAACCAACACCACCCACAGACAATTTCCCAACCGGATTTATGATATAGACACATTTGTATACATGTATTCTCTCTCTGACTCTCTGTGTGTGTGTCTCTCTCTCTCTCTCTCTCTCTCTCTCTCTCTCTCTCTCTCATCTCTCTCTCTCTCTCTTTGGATCTTAATGCAAAGTGTTCTTTTACCTGCAAAATACAATAATGACAACACCGGCCACGACGACACTCGCCACCGCGACCCCAGACGCCACAACTATCGTCACCAGGGAGTCATCTGACAACAGAAAGGCGTAATGTCGTCATTCATGTAAGCAACTCAATCTATGTTTCTAACTGGCATTTATTCCTCCAAACTTAGATGTTCAGCTAGTCCAAAAAAACATTTTATACATAGTCATACTGGTTATATAGTTGTGTGTCAAAACGATCCTGTCAAACATTTCTGTGTGAACATCACAAACACAGCAATAGCTGATAGTCCAGTGAATCATTAACCACTCACTCGGACACGGGGTGGCGACGCACTGCAGCTGTGAGTTGCTGAATACCTTAACACACTACTCTAGTTTTAGGGGGCGTTTTACGAAGTGACCTACCGCCTGGCAATTTCATCAATCAATCATAGTGCGGTTTCACGCCACTGCAAACATCATTAGAACCGTTTTTTTGGTCATCTTTGTATCAAAATATTTCGATTTTACATTTTGTTATTAGTTTAAGCTGCTAAAAATAAACGGATAAAAAAACCCATGTAAATAAAATAGCGTGGTCATATTCTAAGTGGTAATCGTCTTTTTGTCTCACCTATCCTATCAATGATTTGTTCTCCCGATTTATCCGTAGTTGATGACGTAGTTGATGAAGTCGTCCCAGGTGTGGCTGTCAACTGTGATGTTGTTGCATGGAGTGTAGATGCTGATGTAGTTGCTGATGAAGAGTGAGGCCCTCCAGTGGAGCTGCCCGCTGTGGTCGGTGTTGCAGTCACTGACGGGGATGTAGTCGAAGTAGACCACTGTGAAGATGTTGTTGTGGATTTGACCGATGTAGCAGATTGCGTTCTCGTGGAGGAGGATATTTTAGAAGTCGTTGATGCCATTGTCGACGTTGCGTCCGTTGATAAGGTCGTGGACTTCAGGTCTGTCGATGGTGTTGAAGTGGTTGATGCATCTGTCGTTGCTGACTGTCCGGTTGATGTTGGTTTTGAAGGGGTTGATACGTCAGATGAACTGTTACTGAGGGTGGGCGTTATGGGTGTAGTTGAAGATGGACCAGGCGGAACGTTACTGGTTGCTGTAATTACCACGTTAACAGAATATATAACGTATCAACTGAAGTTATAACATGTAAACTGATGTAATAAACATGTTAGCATATGTAATAACAATGTAACCTGAAGTTATAACATGTAAACTGATGTAATTACCATGTTAGCAGATGTAATTACAATGTTACCTGAAGATATAACATGTACACTGATGTAATAAACATGTTAGCAGATGTAATAACAATGTTACCTGAAGATATAACATGTAAACTAACCTAATAACCTTGTTAGCAGATGTAATCACAATGTTACCTGAAGTTATTACAATGTCAACCGATGACATGTCTTCTCAACTGAAACATATCTATGAGGGCATCAGTTTGTTAGACTTTACGACAACTGTTAAATAATCACAGTCTTCACGTATTAGAATTAGTGGTCCATTTGCTTATTGTAAAACAAGTGTGTAGAGTGTAGATACATGGCTGCGATACAAAAGGTAGACGGAAAATCGACATTGCACATAGGCCCCAGAGTTCTTTGATGAAGTAAATGACAGACGACGCCAGTCACTGTACAAGCCACGACAGCTTGCAACATAGAGTCAGTACATGACAGATATCTTCAGACCACGCCAGTCACTGTGCAAGCCTCGACAGCTTGCAACATAGAGTCAGTAGATGACAGATATCTTCAGACCACGCCAGTCACTGTACAAGCCTCGACAGCTTGCAACATAGAGTCAGTACATGACAGATATCTTCAGACCACGCCAGTCACTGTGCAAGCCTCGACAGCTTGCAACATAGAGTCAGTAGATGACAGATATCTTCAGACCACGCCAGTCACTGTACAAGCCTCGACAGCTTGCAACATAGAGTCAGTACATGACAGATGTCTTCAGACCACGCCAGTCACCGTACAAGCCTCGACAGCTTGCAGCATAGAGTCAGTAAATGACAGATGTCTTCAGACCACGCCAGTCACTGTACAAGCATCGACAGCTTGCAACATAGAGTCAGTAAATGACAACTGTCTTCAGACCACGCCAGTCACTGTACAAGCATCGACAGCTTGCAACATAGAGTCAGTACATGACAGATGTCTCCAGACCACGCCAGTCACTGTACAAGTCTCGACAGCTTGCAACATAGAGTCAGTAAATGACAGATGTCTTCAGACCACGCCAGTCACTGTACAAGCCTCGACAGCTTGCAACATAGAGTCAGTAAATGACAGATGTCTTCAGACCACGCCAGTCACTGTACAAGCATCGACAACTTCCAACATAGAGTCAGTACATGACAGATGTCTTCAGACCACGCCAATCACTGTACAAGTCTCGACAGCTTGCAACATAGAGTCAGTACATGACAGATGTCTTCAGACCACGCCAGTCACTGTACAAGCCTCGACAGCTTGCAACATAGAGTCAGTAGATGACAGATGTCTTCAGACCACGCCAGTCACTGTACAAGCCACGACAGCTTGCAACATAAAGTCAGTACATGACAGATGTCTTCAGACCACGCCAGTCACTGTACAAGTCACGACAGCTTGCAACATAGAGTCAGTAAATGACAAATGTCTTCAGACCACGCCAGTCACTGCACAAGTCTCGACAGCTTGCAACACAGAGTCAGTACATGACAGATGTCTTCAGACCACGCCAGTCACTGTACAAGTCACGACAGCTTGCAACATAGAGTCAGTAAATGACAGATGTCTTCAGACCACGCCAGTCACTGTACAAGCCACGACAGCTTGCAACATAGAGTCAGTAAATGACAGATGTCTTCAGACCACGCCAGTCACTGTACAAGCCACGACAGCTTGCAACATAGAGTCAGTAAATGACAGATGTCTTCAGACCACGCCAGTCACTGCACAAGTCTCGACAGCTTGCAACACAGAGTCAGTACATGACAGATGTCTTCAGACCACGCCAGTCACTGTACAAGTCACGACAGCTTGCAACATAGAGTCAGTAAATGATAGATGTCTTCAGACCACGCCAGTCACTGTACAAGCCACGACAGCTTGCAACATAGAGTCAGTACATGACAGATGTCTTCAGACCACGCCAGTCACTGTACAAGCCACGACAGCTTGCAACATAGAGTCAGTACATGACAGATGTCTTCAGACCACGCCAGTCACTGTACAAGCCACGACAGCTTGCAACATAGAGTCAGTACATGACAGATGTCTTCAGACCACGCCAGTCACTGTAAAAGTCTCGACAGCTTGCAACATAGAGTCAGTAAATGACAGATGTCTTCAGACCACGCCAGTCACTGTACAAGCCACGACAGCTTGCAACATAGAGTCAGTACATGACAGATGTCTTCAGACCACGCCAGTCACTGTACAAGCCACGACAGCTAGCAACATAGAGTCAGTACATGACAGATGTCTTCAGACCACGCCAGTCACTGTACAAGTCTCCACAGCTTGCAACATAGAGTCAGTACATGACAGATGTCTTCAGACCACGCAAGTCACTGTACAAGTCACGACATCTTGCAACATAGAGTCAGTACATGACAGATGTCTTCAGACCACGCCAGTCACTGTACAAGCCACGACAGCTTGCAAAATAGAGTCAGTAAATAATAGATGTCTTCAGACCACGCCAGTCACTGTACAAGCCACGACAGCTAGCAACATAGAGTCAGTACATGACAGATGTCTTCAGACCACGCCAGTCACTGTACAAGCATCGACAACTTGCAACATAGAGTCAGTACATGACAGATGTCTTCAGACCACGCCAGTCACTGTACAAGCCACGACAGCTTGCAACATAGAGTCAGTACATGACAGATGTCTTCAGACCACGCCAGTCACTGTACAAGCATCGACAGCTTGCAACATAGAGTCAGTACATGACAGATGTCTTCAGACCACGCCAGTCACTGTACAAGCCACGACAGCTTGCAACATAGAGTCAGTACATGACAGATGTCTTAAAACCACGCCAGTCACTGTACAAGCCCCGACAGCTAGCAACATAGAGTCAGTACATGACAGATGTCTTCAGACCACGCCAGTCACTGTACAAGCAACGACAGCTTGCAACATAGAGTCAGTACATGACAGATGTCTTCAGACCACGCCAGTCACTGTACAAGCCTCGACAGCTTGCAACATAAAGTCAGTAAATGACAGATGTCTTCAGACCACGCCAGTCACTGTACAAGTCACGACAGCTTGCAACATAGAGTCAGTAAATGACAGATGTCTTCAGACCACGCCAGACACTGTACAAGCCTCGACATCTTGCAACATAGAGTCAGTACATGACAGATGTCTTCAGACCACGCCAGTCACTGTACAAGCATCGACAGCTTGCATTATAGAGTCAGTACATGACAGATGTCTTCAGACCACGCCAGTCACTGTACAAGTCTCGACAGCTTGCAACATAGAGTCAGTACATGACAGATGTCTTAAAACCACGCCAGTCACTGTTCAAGCCCCGACAGCTAGCAACATAGAGTCAGTAAATGACAGATGTCTTCAGACCACGCCAGTCACTGTACAAGCATCTACAGCTTGCAACATAGAGTCAGTACATGACAGATGTCTTCAGACCACGCCAGTCACTGTACAAGCCACGACAGCTTGCAACATAGAGTCAGTACATGACAGATATCTTCAGACCACGCCAGTCACTGTACAAGCCTCGACAGCTTGCATTATAGAGTCAGTACATGACAGATGTCTTCAGACCACGCCAGTCACTGTGCAAGCCTCGACAGCTTGCAACATAGAGTCAGTAGATGACAGATATCTTCAGACCACGCCAGTCACTGTACAAGCCTCGACAGCTTGCAACATAGAGTCAGTACATGACAGATGTCTTCAGACCACGCCAGTCACCGTACAAGCCTCGACAGCTTGCAGCATAGAGTCAGTAAATGACAGATGTCTTCAGACCACGCCAGTCACTGTACAAGCATCGACAGCTTGCAACATAGAGTCAGTAAATGACAACTGTCTTCAGACCACGCCAGTCACTGTACAAGCATCGACAGCTTGCAACATAGAGTCAGTACATGACAGATGTCTTCAGACCACGCCAGTCACTGTACAAGTCTCGACAGCTTGCAACATAGAGTCAGTAAATGACAGATGTCTTCAGACCACGCCAGTCACTGTACAAGCCTCGACAGCTTGCAACATAGAGTCAGTAAATGACAGATGTCTTCAGACCACGCCAGTCACTGTACAAGCATCGACAACTTCCAACATAGAGTCAGTACATGACAGATGTCTTCAGACCACGCCAATCACTGTACAAGTCTCGACAGCTTGCAACATAGAGTCAGTACATGACAGATGTCATCAGACCACGCCAGTCACTGTACAAGCCTCGACAGCTTGCAACATAGAGTCAGTACATGACAGATGTCTTCAGACCACGCCAGTCACTGTGCAAGCCTCGACAGCTTGCAACATAGAGTCAGTAGATGACAGATGTCTTCAGACCACGCCAGTCACTGTACAAGCCACGACAGCTTGCAACATAAAGTCAGTACATGACAGATGTCTTCAGACCACGCCAGTCACTGTACAAGTCACGACAGCTTGCAACATAGAGTCAGTAAATGACAAATGTCTTCAGACCACGCCAGTCACTGCACAAGTCTCGACAGCTTGCAACATAGAGTCAGTACATGACAGATGTCTTCAGACCACGCCAGTCACTGTACAAGTCACGACAGCTTGCAACATAGAGTCAGTAAATGACAGATGTCTTCAGACCACGCCAGTCACTGTACAAGCCACGACAGCTTGCAACATAGAGTCAGTAAATGACAGATGTCTTCAGACCACGCCAGTCACTGTACAAGCCACGACAGCTTGCAACATAGAGTCAGTAAATGACAGATGTCTTCAGACCACGCCAGTCACTGCACAAGTCTCGACAGCTTGCAACACAGAGTCAGTACATGACAGATGTCTTCAGACCACGCCAGTCACTGTACATGTCACGACAGCTTGCAACATAGAGTCAGTA